CATATATACAATAAATAATTTTCAGTACTTATAATGTAACCCCTTGTAGTACTATATCACAGAATGAAGATAAATATATATCAACATGGAGAAAACATACAGAAAGCAATCATAGTGAAACACACATCAAAGGATAGGCTAAACCAAAGAAGATGAATGTATACTTTACAGTATGTTTGATACCATTGGCCAGCACCCCACAAAGAAAGTGCAGACACATTTTGTTTTAAATATCTTTATTGTTATCATAACGCATTCGCAGGTAACATCTTTGCGAGTATTGAGGCATTGGTTGCCCGCGCAGGGGCATACGTTTTCAGTACATACATTTGTGTGCATTTTGTCGCCTACGCAGAGGGTGGTTAGTCATTGCATGCTTGATAAAGTATATAGATATCGGTTTGTTTGCTCGTTGTGCTTATCTGCGTGACTTATAGTGTGCCTTTGTTGCGTTCGCACAGGCTAGTCTGGTTTTAGGTGTTTTTACCATGTGGTTTATGAGTAGTTTGTGCCCGCGGGCCCCGTTGTGTCTAGTCCCTGGTTGCTCTGGTTGCGTGTTTGCTGTTTTTTCTGCTGGTGGCATTCAGTCTATTTGCTTCCTATTTGTGCCTCCTCTATGGGGCCTTTATCTGATATTGTGCCATATCTTATTATGTTTTGGTGTGTGTGGCTGCTGTCTGCTTGCGCGTCTACGTATCTGTTGCCCTGTGTAGTTTGGTGTTTCATTGCCATGCGTAACTGGCCCCATGTAGCATTTGTCCCTGTAGTCAGTGTAGTATTTGGTTTAATGAGCTACGGTGCGTTTATGGGTAATCTAGTAAATCTCAATGGTTTGTGTATTTTAATTGTTGTATGTCCCTCTATCTTATTGCGTTGTAGCCTGCCTGGAGGTCCGATTTTCGGTGTGCAGACACATTTTGGCAAATTCTTCAAGTGCATGCAAAAGTTCTCATATGTCTGATCCTGTATAAACAGAGCCCATCCTCATTCGTCTCCTCTTCCCCAATTGTTATTTTGGGCTCCATTCCACATTGTGCAATTGCGCTTGTCTCCGAGAAACCAAGACGCCAAGAGTGACCTTAACATTTTCCTCTCGAGCCAGGTGCAGTTGAAGCTGGATTTCCAGCATCAACACTACTTCCGGTGGGGAGGAAAGTCTGGGAAACTCTTGGCTTGTCTAGCCAGCCCAAGTCCAAATTTAAACCTATCATTATAATTACTTCTACGGATGGCAATAGATATACCTCACTTGAAGCGACCAATAATATGTTTCATTATTAACACAAGCAATTGCACAGGGCTTAAACAGATGACCATGCCCGTAGCATAGCCTTTCTTAAGAGCTCTAGTCTCCTCCGGCTGGACAAAGAGTTTAGGGAGTTTCTCGATGAACGTATCATGGAAGAGGAAATATGCAGGTCAATTAAGACCTTTAAATCAGGGAAAACACCAGGCCCTGGTAGCTTTACTGCTTACAAGGCCCTGAAATGTCAAATTAGATGCCTGTTTAATGAAATATACCTGGAGGGACTATTGCATACCCTCAACCAGGCCGAGTCGTCCTCATTCCCAAATATAAAAAAAAGCAGGTATTAGTGCATAACCCAACAGCACTCACACACGGTTAACTCCGAAAACCGTGCTATATATATATAAAAACAGCAAAAAGGAGTGTAGTGTACTGTAACAGGAAGATGTATAATGTGTGGAATCACCAAAATTTCAAATTACATACGTTAAAACATTCCTCTGAGTCAGAGTATAAATTGCAGTTGAAATGGCAGAGGTTCAGGCTGCAGGATACCACCGAGATAGCTTGTATACCGACCGGCTTCGTCTCTAGGACTTTATCAAGGTAAAGGTGATTGAGACGATCTGAAAGCCCTGCCTTATAAACTACACCAATAATCCATAATAGATTTCAAATGTTTCCTGCCGGCGACATAAAAGTTCCCGTTTAGGTAAAGCACTGAGAATACACTCCTGGCGGCTTCCCTAACACTCCCTTCCAGGCAACAAGCCACCAATTAGGAACAAAATATTAAATTAGATGTAAATGTTTAGTGTATGTAATGTGTGCCTGTATATACACCACCCAAAAAAATGGCTGCCAAGGATCACCATTGCGACCCAAACGTTGCGCATGCACACCGACTTAGTATTAAAGCCAAGTCCATTGTAGTGGATCCTCCCAAAGACAGATACCATAGAAATCTGGGCCAACATACAGGACAAACATATAATAACTTAATATGTGTACTCCATATCAACAGGTCACACATTGAATAGTATGAGAATAATGCAATAATAATGAGTAAAGTTACCAAAGATGACCATATAAATATATTTAAAATATATATATAAAAAAACTGTATTGGGTTATATGGAAAATTGTATTGGGAACCCCTTAAGTAAAGGGATACAAAAGGACCATTCAAAGTGTGACTACAAATACCAATACAGTACATAATACATATAGGAAAATATATCCTACCCAATAAATCATAAATCATGTATACTCATTCAGTAATTACATGTGAACAAGAAGGAGACAAAAAAGGGAGAAAGAAAGGAATTAATACATCACATAAAAGCCATAACATCTAAATCAATATTTAAACTCACATTCTCAAGTGTTTTTAATTTACAAATCTACATGGTCTCACATTGGCACACCTTCTTTTTCACATTGCGTTTCCTAATGTCACCCTCCACTAGATCTATCCTAATGCAAAGAAAATTTTAGGGGTCATAACTATTACAATTAATGCAATGTCTGGGTACACTTTGTGGTCCCTAATGACTATAGCCCATAGGTGCTACAGAATCCATTCCCTCAAATTTCTAATTGTGCCCCACATGGGCACTGGATTAAATAGATTATGTTTCTACTCAACCAATTAATAAATTATTTAATCTCAAAAGATTTGCCAGTATTGGTACTTTTAAAATTCTTAATTGACCTGGGAAGATGTGTACAGATCTTACAATGTCCACATTTGTGGAAACCAATAGGTTTAGATAACCCCCTTGGGTCAGATGTCTTAAGTGGAGGTAAAAGGCTAAGTGCCAGATAGGATTTGAAATTTTTTGCTTTATTAAAAATTACCTTTCGTCTCTGCGGTAATACAAAATCTCATCTTGTAGTAAGACTGGCCAACACTTATTAAGTGCTTTCTTAATATTCCTCGACTTGCGGTTAAACTGAGTTTTGAAAGCTAAACTGAAATCATATGGTATATTCCCTCTGAGTCTATTTGTTTCTGTAAAATGATTATCTTTTTGGTTACGTACACAAGATTTCGTATAATTCAGAAGGCTTCTGGGATAATGCCTATCCATGAACCTTTTTTCCAGAAACTCCATTTGGTGGTCAAAGTCTTTGTCATCAGTGCAGTTCCTGCTTATGCGCATGTATTGGCCTTTTGGAATGTTAGTCAGCCATAAACGATTAGGGCAGCTGATATAGTCTATGTAACTATTCCTGTTTGTTGGAAAAGGGTTCTATGGCAAACATGATTTTCTTGAATGAAAAAACAAATGTCCAAAAGATAAATTGTGTTATTATGAATCTCTGGAGCAAATTTAAGGCCTAAATCATTAGTGTTGATGTATGCTAAAAAGTCCTAAAGATTGGGGAGGGTACCATTCCAAATTATCATCACAACATCAATGTATCTATGCCAGAGCACCAGGTTTGATACCCAGCCATGCTCATCCCAAATGTGAGCATTTTCCCACACTGCCATAAAGAGATTGGCATAGCTGGGCGCAAACCTGGTGCCCATGGCCGTACCGCAATTCTGAAGGTAAAATTTATTGTCCAAAAGAAAAATGTTATGGGTTAAAATGATAAGAATACAATCTAAAATGAATGTGCCCTGTTGATCTTCTAAGTCCTCATCCTTTTCCAATATTTCTTTGATAGCTGATAAGCACTTGTTATGGTCTATCACAGTTTATAGGGATGATACATCCACAGTAGCCCACATATATGTATCTTTCCACTCAATGTCCTTCATTATTTGTAATATATGTCCAGTATCCTTAATAAAGGATTTGGACAAAGGGACATATTTCTGTAGGTAGAAATCCACATACTGTGATAGATTTGAAGTGAGACTATCAATTCCACTCACTATGGGTCTACCCGATGGTTTAACCAAGGACTTATGGATCTTGGGCAAACCAATAAAAAAATGGCCAGTCTAGGAGGGTGTTATATAAACAAACTGAATTTGGCTCCATCGAGGATCCCCAAATCCTTTCCCTTATTTAGCAGATCAATGGCCTCCAGGTCTTTCAAAAACATGTTACCAAAAACTAAGTAAGTATTCTCCTCTGTCTTGTACAAGATGAAATTTTGATTTTGGTTTAAAATCCATGTGTTTGAAGGGATCCTCATCTCTAATTTCAATGGATGTTAATGGCTTGTTTATTAATGAATTCAGCCATTAATAAAATTACCTGGTCAGGCACAGACACCTATGCGCCAGATGTTGTGCAATAGTTATTGTTTTCCTGTTGACCCCTTGTTGGGGTACTAGGTATAAAAGAGTGTTGTTTGTCCCAATAAACCAGTTCTTTTTCACCCTTCACTAAGTCATGGCTAGTGTTTGGGTGAAACAGCAATATCACTATAATCACTGAGATATATTTATTTGGGCTATAAACACAAGGAGAAAAGGGGTCCTTGGTGGCAACATCCCAACTACTAATGGATAGGCCGCCACAATAAGTATATTGTTAGTTCTAATATAATATGGTATAGCATCCACATAAACATCATCGTTAGTATAATCTAATTTTGTACAGTACTTTTCTTCTCAAGAGGATCAGAGAGGTTTTAGAACATAGATTTAGATATTAACATAATTTGCTGATACATTTATTTTCTAACCTATAATTAAAAGCTGAAACAAAATTAATAATCCCAGATGAAATGGCCATTTATTCCAAATCAGACACTAAATATATAATAAAAACACCAGCGCAATAAGTCAAGTAGAGAATGGTTTATTTATAGAAATATAAATAATATTATTGTAACAGCAGCAAATATAAATATAAACAAAACATATGTCATTTTTTAGGTATAATTACAGTATGTTTCAAAATGTTGCTGGTTTTCCTTTGCCAATGCCATAAAGTATGTGTGTGGCTGCTTGGTTTCTTCAAATGGGTTATTCACTAAAGTGTGAATTCAAAGTGAATTTCAAATTTAAGGTGAATTTAGCAGAAATGGAAATATTCTCTATGTCACCTTTACTACCCATTCAGCTACTCTAGCCTTCAATTTGAAATTCATTCGGAATTTCACTTTTGTGAATAACCCTGTATATTTAGGTGATACTTGTAGTGGCTTTGCACTGGATTAGTTTGGATGGGAATGAGTATAGTTCGTTTTCTAAATCAGGTGTCTCAAACCAAACAGTTTTAGGATATACTTTCAGTAATTTTGAAATTAAGTTCAGAAAAAAATATTTTTAAAAGAATAAAAATACACAACATACTTTAGAGTAGAAAAACATATCACATTATACTTTGATGTGTTTTAATAAAATATAAAGTTAAACGTATTTAACATGGTACATGTTATAAATATAAATCTGACTATAAAGGCACAAGCAGTGTATATGACTGTGAATACATACAGGTAACTTTAAATTGATTTTATATTATATACAAGAAAAGCCTCACACCTACTCCTACACTGTCCTTTAGTAAAAATCATATTGAGACAACAGCTATTGCTACAGCTTTCAAAATCCAAAAGTGAACTTCTGTAGTAAAGTCACAGCTGCTTAAAGAAACACACCAGGGCTCAAAAATTCCACTTGCACACTAGAAAGGGACAAATTAGGCTTGGAGAACATACATTTACCCCTGGTGAGAGTGCTATGGACTCTTCATCCTTACAGTGATAAGTAACTTTTAAACCTGGCTGGAAGCATAGCACTTAAAATTTGAGCCCTGATATACATGACATGATTTGCCTGTTATTTTAACTTGTCATTCATATTTTCAAATTCTGTACTACACAATGTGATGTGACATTTGCAGTACGAGCTTTCTTCGTTACTTCTTTCTACCCTTACTCATCTGTAGGACTGGGGGGCAGAAAGGGAGAGAGAGGAATACACTAAACCACTTAAACTTAATTAATGGTAATATGTGTGCATATATATATGTGTCACAGACCATGTAATATACATGATTACGTGTCCATGTGAATTATATTCATTCTCAAAAGCTGTTTTGAGTAAATTAAAGAAGACTATTAATTGAAGAAAAGTCCTGTGAGGGCTCCTATTTTTGGTTATAAAACATCTATCACATAGATATGCACACACATGAGCATGCTACACAATACCTAGACGTCACATACCTGGCTACTGGAAGCTATTTAAAGAGATAAGGATTCTGTTGGATATTTTTTCTTTCTAATAAGGAGATTAAGAGCATATTAAAGAGACATATCAAAGAAAATACTTTAAAATTCACTGTGTCACTGTGTAGATGCACGAAGTGCCTCTTTAAAACACAACACTTGGTAGCTGTCAATGACAAAAGAGGAAATGAAAATCTCTGCAACAATATAAATTCTCTAACCTGATCATTAGTATTATGATGGGACTAATAATAAACTAGGATGGATACTCCCATTCAAGGGGCAGGGGATGTAGCGTTCCCTTCAAAGAATCATGCTTATAAAGGAGATCTAGAGTGCTTGAACAGGTGACAAGAACAGACTTGTGTACTCTTGTGATTTACACAGTTTCCACTGCTTAATGAACTGACACGCTGATTGCCTATAGAAAACCATAATATATTTAAATGATAAACTTGTATACATACACAACATATATATATGTACATAGATTAAGAAAGGGAACAAGCCAAACTATCAACGACTGTTAATTTTAAAACTCTGTCTCCTTTTCTGTCTGTAAGGGTGGATAAAATGTGGATATCAGCATTTTTATATACTTAATATTAGATGTGGAATCAAACCAAATTGTAGTGCATTATAAAATGAATTTAAAAAATATATGTAAAGTAGTTATAGTCTCCATAGCAACTCTGTAGCTGTAGTTGCTGATTAGCCATTTTGCCATTCACCATTCATTGTTTATTGTGACTAAACCTCAGATTTTGGTTAACATTTTGCTCTTTTAAATGGGAGATTCTTAGTATTTTTAAAGTTTCCATAGACGATTTAGTTGTATACCATACAATACATCCAAATATTTTTATACAAAGTATTGAAGGGAATACTACTTAACTCAAAAATGTAAGGTTTCATGAATAGTGTAGGTGCCTAAAGCAGGGCCCGGTTGTATAAATATTAAAAGGGATTTGTCCCTTCTCTGGAATTTACACCATTGAATAACATATTGAAAATCACCTATAGCTTGTGTTAACCTTTATTTGAAGATGTGCTTCATTTTAACTTAAATTTGTAATACATGTTTAGCAAATGACACCTTAACACAGTTCAGACAAATCAAATCCAGGGCAGAGATTGCATGTGAAGAGGAGCAGTATGAACCCGGAATGATTTCTCTTTTTCTTTACAAGCTTTCCCTATGCTTACTACCACGTACAAAAAAAAAACAGATCTTAAAACAATGACCGACAGGGAGGTAAGATGGAGACGCCCAGTTGCAGATAAAGAGATGTGAACTTCTACATTTCATTTTATTTTTCACAAATCAGAAGTAAACATTTGTTAAATATAGGAAAAAAGTAAACACGGTGTAAAAAAAATCCTAGAAAGGGCAGACTCTTTTTATAGAGCCAGTGACGGTTTGTGTCAACAACTACTCCTTAAGAGCCCACTTTTACATCAGGGCTATATAGACAGGACATTTCAATTTGTCTGGAGTTCAGCTTGCACCACAAGGGTTAAACAGTGGTGGACTAACCAATGTCTATGTATGACCCTCTAGGCTTGGAGCTGAAAAGCACTACTATATTGTTATTGCATTAAGTTAAATGGCTTTTTGTTAAAAATCCCATTTATTATTACTTACATGTTTGCAGACACATACAAAACTGTGTGTGTTGTATAATATACCAGCAGATATGCTTGTAATTCTGTGTGTTGATAGTATAATTGTGCAAACTGTTGGCAATTTTATTGACATTTAAGAACAGAGCAAGCTTCCAAATACTGTAAAAGAGGGAACAGTTCAACATAAATAAATATCTATATTGAATAGCCATTCACAGCAACAGTTTAATTTTTATAAAACAATAATATCAAATATTTAAAAAAGTATACACTTATCAGAATGTTGCATTAATTCTCTCATTAAATATCATACCCATGTTGTAAGTAACATAGTGGAATTGGGTAATGGGACACAAGAGTGCCTTCCCTCCCTACAGAATTAAATTATATTTTTAGAAGCATTTTAAGACAGATTCATTTATTTTATTTAATTTTAGGAATGTTTTTAATGTTACATAAAACATCCCTAATTGTTCCAAAACTTACAGTTCCCTGACAGACTGGAGAGGGGAAGGCACTATGAAGAAAGGGTGATTAAAGGCACATACAGTTTGTTCATATGCACAAAAGAAAGTTAAAAACATAAGTGGAGATTCTGAACCTCTGTGTACTTTTGGGTGTCCCTTTTCAGGAATAGAGAGATCTGTGAAAAAGATTATTAAATGCATCACTTGTCACTTAAGTCACAAAAACACAGACACCTAAAAAAGATGGACATTTTAAAATGCTTCTAATAAAAGTAATCTATAGAGGGGAATAAACTAATTGTGTATTTCTTTAATTTATCAGATTGTGACTTACACTGCAACAAAGGTGATACCTTGTTTAGCAAGTGGAAATACGTTTCTCTTGTTTTAATGTAATGTATATTTTGCATGCACTCCTGAAGCTTTGTATCATTTTATTTCAATTCATTTTTAGAAATTTAAATTCATAAAAATAATTGCTTGTTACGATACCAATGGATAAAAAAATAAAGATTTATGAGAAATTCTTAGAATGGATTGAAATTCTGGAAGATGATCACAAGTATGTATGCATATCTTTCCAAAAGGAAAAAAATAAGCAGAAACAAAATAAAAAATACATTTTAATAGAAGCAATTAGGATAACTGCATCACAAAAAGATGGAAATATAGCATATATGCTATTTGATGATACTAGCACTCTCATGTGCTCCTTTTCTTACTAATGTGTTATTAAAATCGTATCCTATAGAAAGCCCGCCTTGGCTGATAAAAATTAAATAACATTATAAAAGCTTAACATTGCACATACATTTATGTAATGGGTGCTTGTGAGATTGTTGTCTAGGAATGTTCCCCTGAAGCCAATGCAAGACCAATATTCCATAATGTCTGTGAGGGAATAATTCAGTTTCAATGTCCAGATAGGTCTTTAATTAACCCTAGTTTCCGAAGAGCATCTTTTCTTGATTCCTCAGAGGCATCACGCCCTGAGAACTGTACTGTAATCCCCTGTGGCCGAAATCCAGTAGGTCTTGGAGTAGAATGAGTCCTTCTCAATTCCTGATGAGGAACTGGAGGTTTCTGCTCTGGAAGGCATTGTGGGGTGCTGTGTCGTTTGTTCATTGCATCACCTTTGATAATTATGGATTTTCCCAAAGGAACAAATGGACTTGGGTCACTCATTAAAACACTGTTTATACTTTCCTGGTCACCAGAATGTTTCCGTGGTAATTCTGGCAGTAATAACTTTGGAGAGTGGTGACCATTTGAAATGGGAGATTTTGGACTTATTGGAATTTCTGCTTGAACTGGGATCTCTTTGACTAAACCAAGTTTGGTCAAGGCTTCATACCTGGTTTGCTCATTGGCTGCGTCCCGAAGGGATGAGCCCCGAGAGCGAGACAGCTGTTCACGATGACCTTTACCATCTATTTCATCAGCAAACAAAGCAGGTCCATTTAAGTTGGCCAGTACTTGGGCTTTACGTTCTTGCACATTAACTGCTGCTTTGGCAATGGTTTTGTTATATTGTTTTCCAACTGGTTTAATGTGAATATTAGTTGGAAAACGACCATTTTTGGGGCTCGCTGATGAAGGGAATACGAAGTGTTCTTCACTGATTGGTGATGTTCCAACATTTTTTTTAAACTCAACTGGTTTTGACACCCTCGGTGATAAGGGAGAAAGATTTCCTCCATCTGCATTTTTCTCTGAAATCTTTTGAGCAATTACTACAGGTGTTGGGACAGCACCAAGAAACTTGCGTTGCTCTCCAGGCAGATCAGGAGAGTATCCGTCAGTGCCAGTTTGTACAGTTGCTGCTGTGACTGTCATGGGTGAGTTCACAGGCATTACAGACTGAGACATCTGTGTGTCCTTGTAAATGTGTTTTCGATCATCCATGCCTGAATCTATGTATAAAAAAAAGGACATTTCCATAAGTTTAACTTCAATGACCACTTAATTATTATATGATATAAACACTTACCTAACAGGAATTGATAGAAATCATAAATAAAGCAGAGGCAGCCAAAAAATAAAATTAATTCACTAGTAAAATCATTATACCATTTTAATAATACACAGTGCTGGAATTGCATATTCATTATTTTACCAGTAAGGATACATTGTAAAGTTTATCAATTCCAAGTATGTCCTGATATAACAGTTAAGCTTGCTAATTTACATTTTACTAATGTGCTAAATTTCTTGGCACTAAAAATATGACATACCAAAGAGCATGTTTGCAAACACAGAATACCGTATTGGTCAGTCATGTACAGTTATATCATTCAGTCTCTCCATTTCCTGTCTAGTGAACCTTGCCATGTGGTTTTAATTACAGCACAGAGCTACCCTACACCTGTCTCAGGAATTAAAAAAATGATGAGCAATAAAAAATATAATGCATTGCATGAGTTTGTTTGTTAAACAGTTAATTCATTGACTATTTTTACAACTTTACTACAATAGCCTAAATTTCAGAATGTGGTTATCAATTCATTGCAGTGTGCTCTATGTTACTAGCTATTTAGATCAAAAGAACTGCCTTATCCCTTATTTTGTAAGTTGGTAACAACTGTTTTCTCTTTGACCACAATACTATTTCAGTATACTTTTATACTTTTAAATGTGTGTTGCTTTTTTGTAGAGGGTTAAATATGAAAAATAGGATATCCTTGTAAACTGCCTTGTTACATGTAAAGTTATTTTATAGTTATATAGATAAATATTGAGTTAAAGAAATGTAATACAGAATTATTATAAACATAAATCAGAAGACAAATGTAACAGCTAAGCCAACATAAAGCAAAACCACTTCAGCATATCATATTTGTATACAATGTATATAGAAGATGTTACTGTATGTTAGAAATTTTAATCTAAATACATACCATGCAATATGTCTTTTTCTACGTGGCTGTGGTCAAGTTGTACTAGGTCAATTATGTCCTCACTCTCAGAATGGCTATCATCTGTTAATCGTGGAGAGTAACCAAAACTTGTATTTTCGGAAAATGGTAGCTCTTCTATATCATCTTCAAAAGCATCAATTGTTTCCTCAAAGAACAAGAGAGCATTCTTTTCTTCATTGGTCAGATATTTGAGGTTCTCATCGTCCTAAAATAAATACATCAAAAATTAGAAAGACAAAACATAATAGTATAAACACAGCACACTGAGATAAACTAGTAATAATACAAGCAAAGTAAAATACACCAATAGATTAGAATATGAATAAATATTATAAACACCGGTAATCTAATAAAAGCACCATACATATAAACTTGTTATAGTACATTATTATTAGTTGTACAGCATCTACAGTTCTATATAAATGTACTAATAAGAAATCACACTAACAATCCATCCACAGTACCAGAATCAGATACTGCCTATAAATCTGATATACCTGAAATAATACCTAATATAAAACTGATATTTAAATGTAACACACAGGTTGACTCCCCTATATATACACATCAATACATGTACCTTTCTGAGCCGTTCCAACATATTTGAAGCTGGTTATTGTCAGCGTCTGGAGCAAGGCTGTTCATGTGTCTTCAAATAAAATTTTACAATCTGTCTATATATATAAAGGTGTGGTTTATTTTATAATGGAATCATGGGTGTGGAATGTTGTAGGCAGAGCCGATTAGTTATAAAGAACAATTATTTAATGTATGCAGCTTCCAAGATAATTAACTCTAATACGTAAGCTTTATTGCATAACACACTATTCACAGAAACGTGTAATCCTGCCATGGTGTTCAGGCACAAACACAACTTCAGTCATTAAACAAGATTGCAATTCCATTAATCATGCTTTCCTCTTTATGACCTTCAACCTTAAAACTTTGTATATGTGATAAAACAGGGTCAGGGGAGGAGACAAGCTCTACACAGGTAATATTGGAATGTTAGAACAGAACATTCTGTGTCTGCTGGCAAGTGTGCGCAGACAAGTATGTAGACAAGTTCCCTGTATGTGTGTATATATATATATATATATATATTAATATATATATATTCACACATACACACGTTAAAAAATTGAAATCTCTTCAGTTTGTAAAAACAGCACCTCAGAGGGGATGTGATAACATTATACAAATATATTCGGGGCCAGTACAAACCATTATCTGGAAATCTATTCATAAACAGGGCTATACATAGGACACAAGATCACTAAATTTAGGCTGGAAGAAAGGAGATTTAATCTAAGGCAAAGAAAAGGGTTTTTTACAGTAAGAGCAATAAGGATATGGAATTCTCTGTCTGAAGAGGTTGTGTCATCAGATTCCATACAGTTGTTTAAACAGCAATTGGATAAATACTTGCAAAAACATAACATACAGGGATATAATTTCTAATTAGTGGGGTAATAGCTGCTTGATCCAAGGAGACATATGGCTGCTACTTTGGGGTCAAGAAGGAATTTTTTCTTAGTTTGTTGCAAAATTGGAAGCGCTTCAGACTAGGTTTTTTGCCTTCTTTTGGATCAACAGCAAAAACATATGTGAGGAAGGCTGAACTTGATGGAAGCAAGTCTCTTTTCAGCTATGTAACTATGTAACATTTATGTATACACACACAGACAGACACACACACACACAATTATTTGTAGGAGTTATGGTTCTGAGCAGCAGCTGCTATGTGCAAATTCCAAATTCTAATCTTAGTGTTTATATTTTCTGAGCGTTATTTAAATTCTGTGGACTGCTCTTCACTCCTTTCCCTCTAACTGAATGAACAGAAAGCCAAGCAACAGCTCAACTAACACGTGGCTGGTGTATTTTTTCTATATTCATTGTATGTTCTAGGCAAATACCTGGTTTACAGTTCAAGGATGCCAACCATCAATGACTGACAGCTGGCCTACTGGGAGGGTGTTCAAGCCCTCCCAGCACTTTGTAAAGGTTATACTTAAAGAAAAAATGTGGTTTAAATGAATGTGCATACTTTACTAAAAGCTGTCTATATGTTAGGTTGGGATTTTGTTTCTATTCCATTTTCCATTGATATACAATAAATAGGGAGTGCATTGTACACCACTGTGAAAAAAACAATTACTGGCAAGCCCTCCTATTCAAGTCAGTCATTTAGAATGGACTGCTGGAGTGATATACATCATCTGGGGAAATGTGCAATACAGATTTATTGCATCTATCTGTATATGAACAAGACAATTTGTCCAATATCCCACTGATATCACTGCCTTTAACATTTTTTTCAAGATCCTTATATTATATACTGCCAGTCATAGAGTCTCAGAGAAGGGATGGCAAACCAGTGTACTTCTCATATAGAGGTCTGCTTAGTAAATATCTCCCTTCATTTTATCATACAGATTCCAGGGTTTAGCAGAAACATCACCAGTAGTGATGTCCCGAACGGTTCGCCGAACGGTTTGCGAACGGTTCGCCACAAACGGTTCGCGGCGGACTCATCATTGAGTAAACTTTGACCCTGTACCTCACAGTCAGCAGACACATTCCAGCCAATCAGCAGCAGACCCTCCCTCCCAGACCCTCCCACCTCCTGGACCGCTCACTAAGAATGCAGCTTCACAATGAATGTAAAATGGATGCTGTCCAGGAGGTGGGAGGTTCTGGGAGGGAGGGTCTGCTGCTGATTGGCTGGAATGTGTCTGCTGACTGTGGTACAGGGTCAAAGTTTATGTTTATGTTCCCCGTCCGCGGCGAACTGTTCGGGACATCACTAATCACCAGTGTTTATTTTCATACCTGCTGGATATTTTGTTAGGGTTCTTACCATGTCTACGGAGCCAGTCAGGGATAGGGTAGGGCACCAGGCTGACCTAACAGACTGAGTTCAGAGAGCACGGGATTGGGAATGGGTTGTGCTATACAGAACTCTTGTATACCAGGAGAAAAAAAATAAAAAAATTTAATCTATAGACTGTAAGACATACACATCTATAACACCATTTAAAGAGAGTCTATAAATCAAACCCACTTAATGACAACATAGTGGCTATGGTACCCTTAGACATAGGGTATCTAGATAACACACACTAGTGTGTTTATCAAGTTTATTTTGGATCAATATAATTTTGATTTTAAAACTCACAGGTCGGCCACAGTTTATCTTCCTGAGAGTTACATAGGGAGCTGGTTTCTTTATAGCTACAAAGGCATATGGACCATTTACAGCCAAAACAAAGATAAAGGGAATCTTAAAAAGGGAACACCCTTTTATGAAAACATTTATTTTTGCACTCCTTATGAGATCACAGTCATTCTTAATATTCCTTGTACCTCAATGTTATTATGTTGTGTTTTTTTCTTAGACACTTCCTCCAAGTGATCTGCCTTTACCTTTTTATTTTAAAGTTAACAATCTTAACTAGGTTTCCTCCTCTGCTAGTGGTTTAATCCTTATTGCTCTGACTGGGGCAAAGCAACTAAAACCATTGGCAGTTAAAGGATTAAGGTGATTAACCATTGTCTCTTAGTTTAACTTACATGCTATGGAAGGGAAGCCTTGCAAATATTTAACTTTTTTTGCTATAGAAATTTGTCAATTGAAGTTTAGTCAAGCATGGCAAAAGCAGTTCTAACAAGAAAATGTAACTAGCAAATTATATTAAAGGGACGCACCAAAACAACTTCAGCTCAATGACACAGTCTGGGTGCCTCTGAAGTTTCACAGTTCAGTTCACTGCCATTTAGGAGTTAAATCACTTTTGTTTCTGTACATGCAGTCCTAGCAAAACCTCCCTTGGCTGTGACTGACACAGCCTGCCTGAAAACAAAATGGTTTAATTTTCAATCAGATATAACTTACTTTAAAAGTTTTTATCTCCTGACTTGTAAATTGAACTTTAAATAAAAGGAGGCTCCTGCATGGTCTAGCAAGCTATTAACAGAATTCTAATTTAAACAGAATGTGCAATAAAGGAAGTGTAAACATTAGACAACTCTTTACAGGAAGTGTTTAGAAAGGTTGTAGTAAGTTATAAGCAGGGAGGTTTGACCAGGGCTGCATAAGTAAAGTGATATAACTCCTAAATGGCAGAGAATTGAGCAGAGAGACTGTATGGACATGATCTATACACCAAAAATGGTTAATTAAACTAAAGTTGTTGTGATGATTTTAGTGTCCCTTCAATGTGTACAATGTTACTCTTAATATAAAAAAAAAATAAAAATAACAAAAATATGAGAACAAGGAAGTCACAAGGTTATGTTATTTAACAAAGTGAATTTCGAATAAATTAATAAATGAAACGGAAAATTCTCTAATTCAGCTATGCTTCCTGTTCGGCTACTTTGACCTTAAATTTGAATGTCACTTTTAATTCTTACGTAAGTGAAAAACCCTGTGTGGACACATTAACTTGAACTGACTCCTTTCTACTACACACCTACCAAGTGTTCTGGATCCAGCAGGATAAACACAATTTGAGACCGGTGTTCTGGTCCACACATTTTTAGTGTACGTAGAAAAGTGCATAAAATACACAGACATGACCCTATCTGGAGCACATATATATAGGCAGCACAGAGATTTACAGAGATATTAGTTTTATTTTAATTATGATTATGGATGGACAAATTAATAGATTAAGTATGGAAATAATATATATAAATCCAAGAGGGCTGCACTCACCTGAACATGCATACATTAGAAAAGTGCTGCCTGAGCCAATTCATACAAGATCCAGCGCACTCACACACTAAACAGCATTTTCAAGGCTCACAGAACGTATTTTTTATTTAAAAACACCAAACTTGGGCAAAAATAATGGAGGTTTAGTTACAGTATATGATCATACATTGCATAAGCCTGACATATATATTTTAAGAGAAAGCACTACAAACCTAGTCCATCTGTAAAACTGAAAGAGAAAGGAATTTGGTGTATGTACGTACTTTTTTACATTTATTTTCCGCACTGTGTGTGTGAAGGTGTGTAAAGTAGATAGCACTTTGTTTCTTAATCATGTTGAGTGATTACAATATGGCTTTTAAAATAGGACTGTGGATGAATGCCTTTTCTCACCTAGAAACCAGCAAGTGACAGTACATAAAACATGGTGCCAAGCTATTGGGAAACCTGTGACCTTCCATAACCTGCTCCTAATTCAAATAGGTTGCTTCACTTACTATTACAGACGGCAAATATGCTTTGTGCAAGGAGCACAATAGAGTAAGTGTTTCATAGCTCCCTGAGAGGAATATTGGCTCATTGTAGTATCATTTTAGAATCAGCGTGACTTTGCATGCAATTATTAATATTGTGATAACTTTGTTGTTTCCTGGAATAATACTGTATTTTACACTCTTGGTTTTGATTGAAGTCTACTCCAATGTTTTAAGTTGTAAAATGTTTTTGTAATGATAACAAGGCAATAAACCAAATTACAATGCATGGTGTTATAGGGAGAATGTTTCTAAGCAAATATTACCCCACTGACTGCGCACATGGTGCCTAATAGATCACTCCATACCCATAAAGCACTTCAACTTTAGTATTAACAGAGTGTCTCTTCTGTCTGATTTTATAAAACTGCTGATTACAAGAGCAATAAGCACTTTTATAAATATATAGGTACATAGACAGCTTAGACAGCCAGGAGTAGACACTTCCTTACTCACTTTGCTTCTCATAGTGCAATGCTTCAGAAGCATTGCTTTGAAATGCTTCTCATAGTGCTGCCTGGGACAGTTTCCTGGTGTACCTAGATGCGGAACACCAGGGAACTGAAGCAAGATGGCAGGAAAGGACCCCAGAGTGGGACAGCTGGGAGGCTTGTATTGGCCTGGAAGATCCTCACCTTATCCTACTCGGGCAGAAAAAAGTTAAATCGAAGAGTTGGTCTTGCTAGTGGATAACAGGTAAGTAAACAAAATTTATTTTTTACAGAAGCTGGGAAAGGGGGGATAAATCAAAATGGACAACTGAGCACTCCAGAGTTAGAAGTAAAAGCATTTCTATTAAAATAATGTAAGCACAGTCAGCATTCATCAGGATGTGCTAACATGATATATGCCCAGCACCAGGCCCGGACTGGCCATCGGGCACAACAGGCAAATGCCCAGTGGGCCGCGGTGGCCATGGGCCGAGGCTGGCAGGGGAGGTTGCCGGCACCTCTGTGTTCCATGACGAGCCGGTGGGGAGACCAAAGATCTCCCTCATCGGCCCTCAGGCAGTGTATCGCGGCCACCGGCAGGGGAGGGAGACAGGAGAGGACCCAGAGGAGTTCTATCTTACAGCTCCGCCAGGATCCTCTTGCGAGATCCGCTCCGGGCCTCACAAGAGTGAACTCTAGTCGCACAGTACTCTTTCCTGGCATTTTTTCTCTCTTGGTATCCCAGTTATGGAGACAGAAAAGAGACAAGTTTCAAGCAAACACAACGCAAGCATGTTATTAAATTTGCTTGCACTGTGCAGAACAAATACAGGGCCTTTTTCTCATGCTAGAGGTCTTCAGCAGAGCTCTGCTCATGGTCTGCCCTGGAAGAGCATTGAACCAACATGCTCACTTTGAGATGGGGTGCGCTTGTCATTGCGGATGCTTTTCAGTGGGCCGTTGTGATTAAAAAATGCCCAGCACGCATGCACGCCCACTAGTCCACTCAAGGAGGTGTTGTTGTGGCTGAAGGAAGCGTTAATAGTGTTAGCCTCCTATGGAAGTAGCAGAGATGGTAGCGGATGCCTTGCAATGGGCAAGGTATGACCTGGAGTAAAATCAGAGCTTAAAGAATTTCCCTTTCCAAGGCTGCTACAAGTTATCCCAAGAGTGTGAGTATATATCGTCTGACTCTGAGACGGCCGTTCAGCAAGAATCAAATAAAGGATTTAATGGTCCTGAATGATTGTTTAGCTGCTCAACCGTGCTGGTTCCTTTTGAAACTCTGGATTAAAATACCTGTTGGTTTGAAGAACTGCATTGTATGTATAGAATAAGAGGTTAAAATCAGAGGTCAGAGTATTAACAGCTGTGAGACAATTATTCCTTGTAACAACTTTTTATCATTCACTGCCTATCGAAAGATCTCCTGCACTAGAAACTTTGGCAGAAGTACAGTGGGAAAACCAGAGGAAAGTTTATTGATTTACAGAATGGATAAAATTGTTCTTGTTTCTATCCTATGGATCCTACTGTACGTATAGCAGAAGTGATTAAAAGGTGAGAAATTCCTTTCTGAAAATCTGGAGCTAAACTCCAGAGGCTATAAATTAAAACAAAGGAATAAATTATTTTCTGAATTCTACTATAAGGATCTTCAATCTCGGTTTTTTTTCAAATTGTTTTTGGTGGTTTTTTCTATTGCATAATTATGTAGGTCCTAATATGGTTCCAAAGAAGGATAAAACACAGGTTACAAACAAAAGTAAGCCAATTTTAATATACTTTGCTCCACTAAAAGTCAAACTACAAATAACAAAGGAAATAGAAGATTATCAAAGTGACCTTAAATCTTCCCACACATTTAGACATTCAGGAGGAAGTGATCAGTCACCACAACACATTATCTACTGCGAACTCTCAGAAATGATGGAAAACATATATTAACGGGACACTATAGTCACCTGAACAACCTTAGCTTAATGAAGCAGTTTTGGTGTATAGAACATGCCCCTGCAGGATCACTGCTCAATCCTCTGCCATTTAGGAGTTAAATCCCTTTGTTTTTGAACCCTAGTGACACCTCCCTGCATGTGACTTGCACAGCCTTCCATAAACACTTCCTGTAAAGAAAGCCCTGTTTAAGCTTTCTTTATTACAAGTTTTGTTTAATTAAGATTTTCTTATCCCCTGCTATGTTAATAGCTTGCTAGACCCTGCAAGAGCCTCCTGTATGTGATTGAAGTTCAATTTAGAGATTGAGATACAATTATTTAAGGTAAATTACATCTGTTTGAAAGTGAAACCAGTTTTTTTTTCATGCAGGCTCTGTCAATCATAGCCAGGGGAGGTGTGGCTAGGGCTGCATAAACAGAAACAAAGTGATTTAACTCCTAAATGACAGTGAATTGAGCAGTGAAATTGCAGGGGAATGATCTATACACTAAAACTGCTTTATTTAGCTAAAGTAATTTAGGTGACTATAGTGTTCCTTTAAGATAAAAAGGGATTTTGAAAAGCGCACTTCGGAACTGAGAAATGAGAATCAATGCAATGGAATGCAAATTTCGGAATCAATGCATTCTTAAAGTGTTATTTTCAATAAAATCTTGGAAGAATATGAACATATCAAACTAACAAATAATGAGTTACAGAACAGCATCACAAAATCTGGAAAGTAAAATGAAGGACTAATTTCGTATCATTGTAGATTTTCAAGAAATGGGTTTTTGCACCTTTCATTTCATTGATTCTATAAGCCAAAAAATCTGGTTAACTCAATTCCCAGTAATAAATTTTAATAAATTGACTTCATTGGAATTGATTCAAATAACAAAATTAAAATCCAAGGGATAACGTAGTTTTTATGGTTCAAGGGGTTATTGTGGTGTACTGAAGTGATTTAAGGTATATCTTCTGTGCAATAATGAGGTCCACATGATCAAGGAGCACTTTAGGTATTTTTATTTTTTTTATGGAATATTGGAAGGAAGATTGTTGTGTGATATTGAGGTACACATGATTATGGACCACTCTATGGGACATTTTTAAGGACTTCATAGATATATTTAAAATGTGTGCAATAATGAGGTACACATGATTGACCTTTGCAAGTTATAGGTACCTGAATATTTTTTTTTTTTTATTATTATTCTTTTCTAACAGGTGATAATTATTTGAATGTAGTTTTGTGTGCAATATTATGCTATATCTGATAAGGAGCACTTTATGTGATTTGATGTATGAAAGGTTTCTGAAATATTAAGCAACTTTTCTTTGGGTTTTTGTTTTTTGTTTTTCCGTGTGAGGTTTGAGGAAGAAGAAGCAAGGGAGAAAGGAAGGGGAAAGAGAAAGGAACGGATAAAAGGCAGAAAGAAAATCATCTATATAGTTCTTATGAGTCACACTTTCTAACAGCACAGTCTTGTCCTGTGGCTGGGGCAGTATTAGTTGTGCGGGGTTTGTAATATCCGCACAAGTTAAGTATGAGAGAGGTTAATATTTGTTATGTGTATTCTTGTCGTTATGTTGGTACATCAAATTAGTATGTCGATTTATGGAAAGAAGGAGTTGATACAGCTGGGATGGCACTTCATTTTGTATCAATCAACGCTCAAAGGCCATACAGTCCCCAGAAAAAAGGTTGTCTTTATAATGTATAATGAATTCAGCGCTGATGTCAGTCGGCTGACATCTGGGACCTAATGCTCATGTGTGGCGAGCGCAACACTTGCTTTAGGACAACCCCATATGTTGAATTGATTTAATGCTTTTTATGGGGTTTTAGCAGACGGCCACTAGAGGTGGAGTTAATCCTGCAATGTAATTATTGCAATTTCTCAATTCCAATCGCAGGGTGCTTTGATGCACATTAAAGTGACACATGAGAGGATTATGTATTAAAATAAGAACCACGAGAAAAATCTTTCAGATCTACATATCAAATTAGGTAAAATGGAAATAATCCATAAGGAGACATCAGATTTGGTAGTACTTTCTGAAAATTAGAAAACCAGAGGTCTGATAATCAAAAAAATGCATGAAAAAATTAACAAAGCTATCTTAATATTAAAGTAAAGATGGCATTACATTAATAATACAATCAAAGGGAAACCATAGTGCTAGAATCTCCTCCCACTATCAGGGTACCCTCAGTGAAACAAGACAAGGAAAGGTTGCGCCAAAGATAAAAAATATCAGATAATATCAATAGTAGAGATAGTCCTAGTAAGAGATCCTCTTGTATAGGTGACTATAAGTCATCGATGAGACTCAATATAAAGTACTTGATAGAAAAATGAAAGACCCTAGGTTGAAACGATGAGTCAATTAATCCGAGCGCTCCGTATGCATATGTCAGACAAAATAGGGAGGACAGCGAATAGTGCAATAAATGTGATCAGAGATATGTTATAAGTAGAAATAATGGTAGTACACTCACATTTATGTGAGCTATAGCCAGCTCTAGTGTAATAGGCGTACAGCGGTATAATCCCCACTTATAGGATATACAGCAAGTGTCCACCTCAGGAGCGATATCCAAACCAAGGAAAGGGATAGAAAGACAACTAATAGTGCTCTCAATATAAAAATATCAATAGATAAAATTAATACAAATTTACTTACAAGGATAGAACAGGCTGCATGAGGATTGCCGTACCTCTGGCTTTGCCCCCTTGAAAGTCGCTATAGTATTCCCGTGGGAAATGGTGATTTGTCATTTTGGGTCGGACAACTCCTGAAAATGCGTTTCTTGAAGAAAGACAACTGAGGCCCTGTCTTGGAAATCCCTTAGCGCCCCCGTCCATCTCTCGGGTTTATTCAAACCCCTAGCGTTTATGGACAATATGGTTAAGGAAGCTGGTGTCAGTGACATGAGAGCAAGAGGAGTGTACGTGTCAGTGCGATAGTCAGGGGGGCATCGGGAAGGGGAGGGAGGAGTAGCAGTGGAGAAGGGGACAGGATGAAAGAACAGTAGGGAAATAGACCCAAGAGGTACAGCTTTAGTACATATAGTACTGGCAGCAAACAGCCGCCCACTGTGGCGGTGAGAGTAGAAGCGTCGGGGAGCTGTGAACTCCGAGACCACCAGTGGACAGGGAGTTCCGCGCACCTGTTCAATGATGCTTAGCACCAATGGGAGAAGGTGCCTGGGGTCAGGAATCCCCAGTTGGGACAGGTCCGGCCAACTCCTTTCTGATCCTAAAGGGGTCCATCCCGAGCAAGCGGAGACTGGTCCAGTCAGTACATGCATGACTCCCTATTGCGGCTCTTTGTTCGAACTGTAAGTCACATCGTTAATCCTCTTCTAAACACAATAAAACGGCCCTTTGAGCCCAACAGTGCAAAATTCAACCTCAATAGCATAACTAGTGTAAAAATAGACATGTAAGTAAAGATGAAACTTCAGGAAAAAGTGAGAAAATGTGGCAAAATAAGGGCATTAGGAAGGCGTCCCTCCCATACCCACAAGGCAGGTGCTGCAACCCACTCAGTCCCAGATCCAAGTGAAAGTGTTCTCACCTCCCACATAACCCATGTAACGGATGCCCCGGGCCCCTGATATGATATATAGGATTCCCCCCTCTGCCCATATCCAGGATCAATCGAGCAGCCTGGGTTGCCAGCACACCTCTCACTCTCAATAAGGTCGTCACGAGTCCTGCAGCCAGGTGGCAGCACAGCCTGGTCGGAGCCCCCACCCACACCAACTAGTCCCAGGTCTTAAGGTAGGGCCCTCAACGTGTGGGCAGTATGTCTAGGGAGGCCACCCTGCTACCTGGCTGCGACCCCCCTCAACCCTGTGTGTAGGAGAGATCCAGCTACGAACCCTGCCATAGAAGGGGCCATTGGTCACTAAACCTGCACCACCTGAATAAAGCAGGGTACCCCCAGGGGATACATAAGATGTAGGAACTTGATAAGCCCCTAATGAGTGCAGTGTAGACAGAGGAAGAGGAGAGGCAATCCCCCTTTCTAGTTAGGAATGTAGACATAGTACCTGCTTATTGTCTCCAGGGGTTGGCTTGGGTACGTGGGGAGGTCCGGAATGAAATAACCCGCAGGGGACGGGAAGGGGGCACAACAAGGGGTTACCCACTCAGTGTAAAGTGTTCTCACAGGGTCCATCACATACAGCATTAGCAACTCTAGTCAGGTTTCATCTCAAGGAGTATCAGCAACGAGTGGGTTGTAATCTTGGAAGGTCAGCTGTAGGTCCCTGGGTTCCTGCAGGCAGAAGGAGAAGAGACTTCCCAGGGTGGCGCCGTCCATGCGTAGAAGGGAGTCCTTTAAGGGGCACCCGTGGGTTGGGCAGCCTGACTTTGAGACTGCTGTATCCCAGGTGGTTTTGGCGCCATTGCGGTGGTATCCAGAGCAGGTAAGTAAAATGTTAGAGGGTCCGGCCATGGAAGTGAGACCGCGTGGAGTTTTAATTCGTCCAGAAGAGTCGCCATGTCCCCGGCATCCTTCACCAAAAAGGAGCTCCTCTGGGTAAGCACCATCAGTCCCATTTGGAATTGCCAGTGGTAGCGGATTTTATTAGATTGTAAAACCCTGGTTAGGGGGCGTAAAGCTCGCCTTTAGGTCAAAGTGGTAGGAGACAAGTCCGGTAACAGTTGAATGTCAGCCCCCTCATGTATAACCCGCGGGGCTTCCCTGGCCTTTCGCAAAATGTCCTCCTTTAATTGGAAGTTGGCCATGCAGCATATGGCATCTTGTGGTAGGCCTTCAGGATGGCCCTTGGGCCAGAGCGCTCTGTGGGCCCGAACAGATTCCATAGGGCTATCAGGTGGCCTCTTGAGTAGTCAATTGAAGACTGCCATCAGAGTTTCTTTAACTGGTTTGGCCTGGTCCAGCTCCTCTGGTAGGCCTCTAACCTGTATGTTCTGTTGCCTACCCCTGTTGTCAAGATCCTCGACGTGGCGGGTCATTTGGTGCATTTGGGCTCTCTGCAGCCACAGGGCATCAGTGTTGGCAGCTTGTGCACTGGAAAAGTGGTCACAGTCCGCTTCCACTTGGGAGACTCTTTGGCTGAGGGATGGTATATACTCACAGAGATAAAATTGCGCAGATCAGTATTAGCTTCTCGGAGGTCAGCTTTCGTGGGTAAGTTTTTCAGCAGCATGCCCCAATCCGGGTGTGTCCCCCCCTTGTACCTTGAAGGGGATGGGCAGCATGTCGTTTGAGGCCTGCGACATGAGGTCCACTGGAGTGACCAAATACTGTCGGAGCAAGGAGGTGGCAGAGCCCCCCAGGGTGTCCTGTGCCTTCTGGGCAGTCGATGCCCGGTGAGTTTTACCCATGTCAGTGGTTGGGGATTGTTTCAGATGAGGATCACAGGAGAGCCAGTAGGGAGCACATGAATTAAGCAGCCATCTTCCTCAACTGCCAGGCCACACCCCTGACCCATTTTATTTGTTTTTGGACCAATTCAAATATCATTAAAAAGGTACAGTTAACAAATCCCATAATCAAAATTTAATAACAGCGTGTTAAAGCTTTTAGATATTCTACATAATGATAGGATTATGCTCTCTTCATAAATTCAAACTAAGTTTGATCTATCAGAGAGAAATGTTTTCTTACCTCCTAGTAATGTTCTTAGCAGGAGTACAATCGTTGAAATGTTTACCCTTGGAAACATTTATTAATGCCCATCACAAAAAGAAAATAATATATAAATTATTAAGTTTCATAGATCAGAATTCCCTAGATATTAAAGAAGATCCGCTGGTTAAATGGGGCACAGACTTTGGTAAATCATTTAGCAAGGAGGTATGGCATTACTGTATTAATGGTGAAACAAATATGTACCCTGTTTACATCTTGTAGGACTCCACTATGAGGTTATATATAGTTGGTACCTGGTGCCATCCAGAAACTTTCAAATGTAAATTCAAAGATATGCTGGTGGTGTGGACATATGAAGAGTTACATGCATGGTGGCCTTGTGATGAATTTACATAATGTAAAGAAAATGTAACTGCAATTCTTAAGAAATTAGTAGCACCTTAAAAATATTTAATCTCCATATTGATCTCTCTCTATGTAAAAGGCTAAGTAAAGACTTAATGCTGCGTAATATGTTGGCATTATATAAATGTTATTAGTACTTATTATAATATTACTTTAGTTATATGGGGTATTTAAAGGAATAGTACATTGTCCAGAATAAAAGCTGTGGATGTAATGAGAAACCATGAAAATACATAGTTCCATTTCTTAGTTTTGCAGTCACATTGGTTGTTATTATTATTGTTATTGCTACTATTATTTATATAGAGTCAACAAGTTCCGTATCGCTGTACAATGGATGGACTAACAGACACGTATTTGTAACAGACAAGTTTGACGCACAGGAACAGAGGGATTGAGGGTCCTGCTCAATGAGCTTACATGCTAGAGGGAGTGGGGTATAGTGACAAAAAAGGTAAGGGTAGGGTAGAAAAGTAGGTTGCTGGGATAGTATTTGTTGAGGGCTTAGGGTTTTGTTTTAATGACAGTTTCAGGGGAAGAATCAGGGTGCGGGGAGGGAAAGCTGTTCACAGTTTAATTGATATGCTTTACTAAAGAAGTTTTGAAAGATTTTTTGAAGGAGTGGAGACTGGGCGAGAGTCTAACAGTGAGGGAAAGGGTGTTCCATAGGAACGGTGCAGCCCTAGAGAAGTCTTTAAGGTGAGCATCAGAGGTGGGAGTACGTACAGAGGTTAGACGTAGGTCTCCGGCAGAGCGTAGAGGCCTAGATAGGACATATTTATATTAATGAGGATAAGTAGGTGGGAGCAGCATTGTGTAGTGATTTGTAAGCAAGTGTCAGGATCTTAAATTGAGCCCTATATCTTACGGGTAGCCAATGGAGGGACTGACAAAGGGGGTGCGGGAGGTGCGGGCAGACAGGAAGATGAACCATTGAGAAGTGGATTACAGTAGTCAAGACGAGAGAGTACAGCAGCATGGACAAGCACCTCTGCCATATCAGGTGTTAAACAGGGTCGGATGCGTGCAATGTTTTTGAGATGGAAGCGGCAGGATTTGGCGATTGCTTGGACACGAGGGGTGAAGGACAGGTCAGAGTCAAAGAGAACATCCACTTCCTAGCTCCAACCAGTAACCCAGGAACGCTTCAGCCCCAATCACCAAAGCTTGACTGAGGTCGCTGAGAACTTCTTCCACCCTGGACGAGGCTGCAGCTCTCTTCTTCCAGGCAGGTATCATCCCCTCTGCCTTTGGCTTTTCAGCTCATTTCCCAGGCAGATATCAACACCTCTGCCTGCCCTGATACTAGCTACTGCCTTGACAAAGGCACTTTTAACTCTCAGGCCTAGCTCTTTTTAACTTGCCTCGGAATCAAGGGACTAAGCAGCCAGGCAACAAGTCCAAACACTGTGTTACAGGAGTTTCTGAATAACAAACCAAGACATGCAGTTCCAGATGGAACTAACTCACACAGCTTAAATTTTACTCAGGACTAGCTCAAATGCACGTTACATTTTACTTACTGTGACAACCTCAATTTAATACAAATAACCAAAGCATATGGGGAAACTTTCAGCAACTTATGATACTGCATTAACATATTTATAAAGGGTGGTTTAAGACAAAAACTAATATGTCCCCTGCCTGCAGAATTCATAATTTGCAAATTAACAAGCCTTGCTAGTCAGATAGTGCCTATAGCTGTTTCATAATCATTAAAACCAACAGATGGCACTGCACTGGCTCCACAGCAAAATCCACCTAGTTGTTTGAAAGAAACAGAAGGACAGGAGAACACACAAAACAATTAAGCATATACAAATACATTATATACACCCTGCACCTAAAATGGACACAGGGTGACTAACACATAAGAATAATCTGGGGCCTACATAAATTGTCCGTCTTCATCCCCCACTGATGGTGACTACTGTCACAGTTTTTACTAGTTTTGCTTTTCACATACAAAATATATTCATACCTAAACTAAGGCTGACTTAATCCAATGAAGATTGTTTAAACATTTCACTTGACATTTCATGAGCGAATAGACTCATTCTAAGAAGTCTAATGAAGGGTTAGTAACCAGTTCCAGAGGTTCCTGGAAAATAACTATTTATAGCTACACATGTCAAAAAACACCTCTAGCCATTGACACAAATCACACAGCTATTATCACTGAGAGGAGCAGGTTGCTTACCTGCTGTATACAATGCTGATATTTCTAACACATCATTACACAAACTCATTGCTGAAGTCAGAATAGCAGCTAATAACCCTAACTCCAGATGTATCTAGAGAATAGCAGGATCTGATTGGACTTCTAAAAGAATGCAAACATTTCTAGGTGCAGAGCGGCATTTTGCCATGCATGCATGATAACCTCCCAATTCTTTCCTATGGGAAAGCATTGGATTGGCCGAGATTGTCAAATTTGATGATCTTAGCCAAAGGACAGAGCATGGGCGGGGCCATGACCAGACCAGACCTGCACCACTGGAAAAAAAGTGAATAAATAACATTTTTAACCGGAGGTAAGGGGGCAGTGGGGGCCTAAACAGCTATTTAGACCACTACTGTCAGTAATACACATTTGTATTCCTGACACTATAGTGTTCCTTTAAAGGAAAACTGTCATTGGATTTTCACGTAATTTCTTAAAAGTGTACTATATCTTTTTTAAATGATGTATACTGATTTTTCTGAGAAAATGTTCACTTTTTTTATCTGGCTGAGCAGCCATGTTGGATCAGATTCTGAATCTAATGTTATCTGACCAACTGATGCTCAACCTAACTTGCCTCATGATGTGATTTCTCACAGAGCAAGCACAGCAGCTGGTGAGTTAGGTTGAGTAGCAGTTGGTCAGATGACAGTAGAATCTGTCCCAGAATGTCTGCTGTTTATGGTAACTTTTAGTAAATAAATACTAAGCATAACTTGCAGATATTGGACAAATTTTAGACATGTGAAACGAACAATTGTTACTGTGTATTTAATATTTTTTATCCATTTAAGATTTCTGTGGTGGTCAAAGAGGTCACTTCATTTGTGCACTAAAGCCACCTGCCATTGAGACATGTTGCACGTGTGTCTTCACTGATTCACTAAAATACATGTTATATTGCCTTCTTAGGTCACCTTATGCCCTTTATATCTAAAACAAGGTTACAGTAAAACACCTTTTAAAGGCATAATACATTGGTGTGACGCTAAGCAAATACCCCTGCCCTCGTGTTTTACGAGCTTACAAGCTGAATGCAGAACACATTGGCATTTCACCTCCACTAAACAGCCCTTGTCAGCTGCATGCTACCAGAATAATCAATTTGTAACCTTGGGCTGGATGAATAATACAGTAAACTGGACATGTGGGCACAGAAACTAGTGACAACCAGAACAAGCCAGCCATTCACAACACCAACTGAAGGAACCCTGTACAGATTTGGGTTAATCAATGACTAGTTTTTGCACATTCCCTCCTAATTTTTCTTTTTTTTGTTGAGATAATAAAAGTTCTTGTAATCAAGTAAACCTGTTACAAGATACTGACTTACCTGATCCTGGAATGCGGTGTGTGCTGGTAGAGTGTAATGACGTGGTCAGAATAATAAAATGTGTTTTAATTAGAGAGGGAACGTGCTGGAGAGTCAATCTTTTACCACTGGCTACTTAGTACAAGAAAAAAGTCAACAAACAAAATATGTGCTTTGCTGTAAAGGTATGTTAGAGAATTTCTATTGTTAACGTGTGTAAGAGATCATAAAATAATAATGATTCCATCTGTGTTTAGTGCATTATTTTGCATTTAGTACACTGCTATTGCAGGAGCACATGCCAAAAAGGTCAATGTTTTTTTTTTTAATATATTCATTTTGAAACGTAGTAAAAGAAAAAGTCATAAAAATGCATTTTTTTAAAATTACGTGTTATTATATTTCTATTAATGTGCCATGCCAAAAATGACTTGGTGTCACCTTATGCAGAATACAACTTAATCTATATTCTTAGCCATATTACTAGCAAATAAAGAGTTAGAAAGTTATTTAAATTTTATTTATTCACTTTTGTACTTATTTGAACAAAAAGGACCAGTAAGGACACTAAGATTTATTTATATTTAGAGGTGGTCTTGAAACTAAACTAATGAGGAGAACACTAAAGCATTAAGAATACAGAATAACACTATAATGTTTGTTTAGTTGAAACAGACACTCTACGTGATATTCACTATAATAAACTATAGGGACATAATAATGCACCATAACCACTATTATAAACTACAGTGACATAATCACTATAGTTTATTATAGTGGTTATGGTGCAATCATTTTTTGGGTGCAATCTCTGCAGATTAAGGTCTTCTCCAAGAGGTCAAGATATGTGAGTGCATCTCCTGTAATGCTTGCATTTGTTTTAATGTCTAGTCTTTATCACAATGAGGGGTTAACTACAGATTTAGGATACTTCCACAGAATGGTGTTACCATGTAAGTGCTGTCTATTTAAGCACGTTAGAGAATTTCTATTGTTACAATAGAATAGCTCGTGTAACAGTAATTACCTCTGTGTTTAGTGCATCATTTAGCATAGCACACTGCCTTTGTTACAACACGTGCCACACAGGATGATTTTTAAAAGAAAATAAATTCTTTGACACACAGTAAAACAAAAGGTGGTAAACAAGTAATTGTTTCATTACATGTAACTATATTATTATTAAGGTGCACCTGTTGTGCCAAACATGCCACCTTATAGGGAACACCATTTCATCGGTAGCTTGAATTAGCCATTTTATTAGCAAATGTATAGTTAAAAAGTTATTCCAATTTTATTAATTTATTTTTGTAGCTGTTTGGACACTGTGTGGCATCTTTTATACAGTTTATTGTAGTGGATATGTGCATGCACCTGCTGTCGTCTTAGCATGCAATTTAATATTTTGTGTTTATCTATTACAGTGGAGGGGTTAAGTACAGCTTTAGGATACTTTCACAGAATCGTGTTACCATGGCAATTAATTTCCAAAAGTGATTGTTACTCTTTGAATCCTCTGAAAACTAACATATCCCATGTACCATAGAAACACATCACAAACGAACAAGACAACATGTCATGGCCAGCAAGAACACCCAGAGTCAGCAAGCAGGGTACTGGAAGCAGCCAGAATGGAATCTTAATTGCTACTTATGTGCCATAAATCATTACCTCTGTGCGCCATTCCTGCTTGACAGAATGTATCCAAGGAATCAGTTTATATAACAGTTTCCCTACTACTCCAGCTTTAGACAGCATTGAAAAATGATAATTACACATATTTAAAGAAATTATCTTTATATCATCACAAAACCAAAAACAGCATTATGAATCTATCTTTTAGCAGATCAACAAGAATGAAAACAGGCTACAAAGATAAACACGTACTAAATAAAGTTTAAGTGCTTATTGCTCCTTTAAGTGAAAACTACAGTACAGAATAATTATGATGTCATACTGTCATGGTTTACTTCATGTACCACATGCCAGCATGGTTAAGTCAGACATGGTGGAATAAAACTGTCTAATTTGATTGCCTAAATTTTTTCAGACACCAAAGAACACATATGTGCTACAAGAAGAGGACAGCAATGTCTACTTTTTATTCTGGTAATGTTGGGCCAAACACCATCCAAGTTCTGTGAGCCAAGTTTAGCCGAGTTATTCAATAAAGTGTAATGCAAAGTAAATTTACAAGTTAGCCATGTGAGTCAATGAAAATCTAGCTATGTTTATAGTCTGGATATTTGGGCCTAAAATTTGAAATTCACTTTGAATGTCTCACAATTCATACTTTAGTGAGTAACCATATACGTGTGTCTAGACTAGTATTTCCCAATTGAGGTTCTGACAAAATGTGTAAAAATAAAATTACTGGAGCCAGAATATGACGTCTCTCCGGCTCCAGCATTACTAAGAGGAGCACGAGGGAGCTGAGCAGGGAGATCACTGCTCCCTAACCGCACGCACGCCTGTCGCTCAGCAGCCCCACTGGACTCCAGGGACCGCACGCTCAGCCCAGCAGCCCCACTGGACCAATTGGACATAGAGACTCCATGCCAGCACTCCCAAAGGTAGGGGGGCTGGGTGGAGTAAAATTAAAAAATAAAATAAATTGTATGTGTGTCTGTTAGGGACTTTGATTGTGTTTGTGTGTCTGTCAAAGAGTATATGTGTCTTTGTCAGTGAGAATGTATGTGTTCTTGTCAGTGAGAGGGTATATGTGTTTGTATGTGTGTCTGTAAAAGAGTATGTGTGTTTGCCAGTGAGAGTGTATGTGTCTTTGTCAGTGAGAGTGTGTGTCTGTCAAAGAGTATGTGTGTTTGTCAGTGAGAGTGTATGTATGTCTGTCAGAGTATGTGTGTTTTTCAGTGAGTGTATGTGTGTCTGTCAAAGAGTATGAGTGTATCTGTGTGTCAAGGTTTGTGTATTTGTCACTGTGTGTATCTAAGTGTGTATGTCAGTATGTGTGTGTATGTGCCAGTGTGTTTGTATGTGTGTGTGTGTGTGTGTGTGTGTATGCCAGTGTGTGTATCTGAGTGTGTCAGTGTGTGTATATGACACTGTGTGTATCTGTGTGTTTGTATGTGCGTGTGTGTGTCAGTGTGTGTATATGACACTGTGTGTATGTGTCAATGTGTGTATCTGTGTGTTTGTATGTGCATGTGTGTGGGTGTGTATGTATCTGAGTGTGTCAGTGTGTGTATGTGTCACTGTGTGTATCTGAGTGTGTGTGTATTTGTGAGTCAATATGTGTGTGTCAGTGTGTATCTATGTGTCAGATACACACACACACACACACACACACACACACACAGATACACACTGACAGAGAGATACACACACTGGCCCATACAAACACAGATATACACACCTTGACACACACCTGCATAGACAAACACAGATACACACACTTTGACACATAGACACATACACCTTGACACACAGATACACACACACACACACACACACACACAGATACACACTGTGTGTCAAGGTGTGTGTATCTGTTTCAGTGTGTGTATCTGTGTGCCACTATGTGCCAGTGTGTGTATCTGTGTGTCAGATTCATACACACAGATACATACAAACACCCTTTGACACACAAATACACACACACACATACACACTGTGTGTCAAGGTGTGTGTATCTGTGTGCCAGTGTGTGTGTGTCTGTTTCTGTGTGTCAGATACATACATACATACACACACACTGATACACATTGAGACACACGGGCACATACAAACACAGAAACACACCTTAACACACAGACACACACCGGCACATACATAGGGGTATCCACGATGTTGGTACACTATGTCAAAGACTTCCACAGGAAAAATGAATTGGGAACCCCTGGTCTAAACTGTGGCGGAACTATTGCTGAAGTTAAAAATCAACACTTACCAAGTTAGAACTTCTGGACCTAGAATGGCTACTTTGGCTGTCAAAACTTCCACTCCTTTCAAAGTCACTCAGCCGACGTCTGGCGAAACCATGTTCCATTTCTGAAGAAGTTTGCTTTATTAGGTTGCTTGGCATTCTTCTAGCAGCTGTCTGTAGCTAGTCCTCAATATGCAAACACGATTGGGATTTTTCTCAACCATAAAACAAACCCTAGAAAAAAAGACAAGAATTGAACTATAAGAACGCAAGATACACAAAACATGAGCTATGTTTTTTGTTTTATCAGTTTGCTAAATCTCTTTTTTCGCATGCATAAAACATTCTCATACTATCAGGGTTGTTCACTAAAGTGAGAATTCAAAGTGATTTCCAAATTTAAGGCCAGAGTAGAAAAACCGATAGCATAGCTGAAAGAGATATTTTTCAATTTGGCTGTTTTGACCTTACATTTGAAATTCAGTTTTGAATTCACACTTTACAAAATAACCTTGTACAAATTTAGGGATACATACAAGGCCTGAGAACAAATCGTTCTCAGTAAAAGCTAAAAATGTATTAAAAAATGTAAAAAAAAAAAAAAATGCTAATTGAGACAGTGAGTTTGCATTGATACAGAACTTGCGAATTATCATTGGTAAAATTTATATGACCTAACCTTGGAGGAGTAAACAACCTTCCGCACCACTGCAGATGTTGTGGACTATTTCTCCAATAATTATCTTAAAACTATAATGCTGGCAAAGCATATGGAGAGATGTAGTCCACAACACCTGGAGTGCCAAAGGGTGCCTACCATCAGAAGCTTAAAAACAAAATGATATTTTGATCTATATACTAAACAGAAATTTTGGCAGATTAACAACTGCACGGTTTGATGACAACAGGTGCATTTTTACAAAAACTTTAGCAAACAGATGCTTCATTAAACCAAAGCTAGTTGCGCATGTAGTTTCTAATGACAAAGCTTCTTTTAGCTTAAGTGCAACCATCTGCTCATTGATTGCATGTCTGTATTGTATGTGCATCACCTGTTAAATGACAATACCGCCAGTCTTGTATATAAAGCAAACCATCGTTTACATCTCAAAGATTAATAAATGGTTGATGTTAATGATATCAAAATTGGATTTACATGAACAGGCACTCTGAATAGCAATAGAATATTACTAATGCCAGCACTAGACAAAAAACCTTTAACTCACTAAGTGGATAAGACGAGACAGATCCATAAGTTATGATTGCCTAGCATTTAAAGGAACACTTCCACCACCACAACAACTTTAACTCATGGATATCATTATGGGGACAAAAGTGTCAGAGATCGAAACATTTTCAAGGGATTTAACCTCAAAGTTGGTCATAAGGCACCTCTACCTCCTCCTCTCTGCCTACAATATGTATAGGGTTTTGCTATGTAGTATTTCTCCCTTTGCTGGTACTCTTATCCATATACTGTGGCAGCAGAGTGAAAGGGGAAGCTGTGTCATGCACATGAGCAGCAACTTCAGGATTGAACTGTTGGAAAACAGTGTAAACTGAAAGTAAGACAGTGTCTGGAGACTCCTGCCCCCATAACTTCAATGAGCAAGTTATTTTGGGACTAAGAGTGTTACTTTAAGATCCGAAGCTTTGTGATCTTCTTTAAAACACTGACATTTCAATAAGAAGATACAAAATAAATAAGTGGAAACATTGAGCTATGTAGTATACTTTTTGTTTTTCTAATTCCTTTTTAGGACAAATAATTTTGGACAAACTACATATTAATATCTGTGCAAATGCATCAATTTGCTATGTAAGATTTGGGCCAAAAGGAAAATCTCTTACTAAATTACTCATAAAAAAAAAAAAAAGAGAGAAAGAGACATAACCTAACTGTGTGAGTTGCAAAGGCATGTTAATAGCATTATAGTGCTTTGGCAATGCATCGGGGCCCTGCCTATGCAACCACTCACAGGAATACAAATGTCAATTATCGAAATTATCTATTTATTGGTACATCCAACAAAATCAGTGTTTAATCATTAAAAAAAACATGCTGTACAGCATATATTAATCCACACAAACGTTTGGACAATATAACAAAAACCTTGAACTTGAAATACAAGTACTTCAATATAAAAATGGTAGACCATTTTCATGTAGACCAGTGGTTCCCAACTGTTTTATATTTGAGTACCCCTTGGAAGCCCTTTTCAATAAATTGTAACCCTCATATTAGCAAAATGTTTGTTATTAATATAGTTGCTGTTATTCCAAATTTATACGTTTTCTCTGCCCCGTCTCCCATTTTTCTCTGCCCCTGTATCTCACTGTTTCTACTCTGCCCCGGGCTCTCCTTGCTTCTAATCTGCTCCAGGCTCCCCAGCTCCACCTCTACCCCAGGCTCCCCCTGCTTCTCACATTGCAGATAGACACACTGACACACATACACACTGACAAATGTGCAGATACAATCAACTGACACACATACAGATATTGACACACATGCAGATACACAGACACAAACGACTGATACACATACAGATATAGACACTGCTATACATGTGGATGCACACATACAAACACTGACATACGTACAGATACAGACACAAATAAACACACAAAGACATATATACAAACAGTGACACAAAAACAAATACTGATACACATGCAGATGCACAGACACACAGATCCAAACAATGACACATTCACACAGACACATACACACACTGACACACATGCAGATACATAGACACACAGATACAAACACTGACACATAAAGATACATAGACACACAGATACAGTTGCAAACACTGACACATGTGTAGATACACAGACATACAGATGCAGAAACTGCCATGCATACAGATGCGCAGACACATATATCTAAACAATCTTGCACTCACACAGACACACAGATACAAACACTGACAAACATGCAGACACACAGATACACATATACAAATGCTGATACACAAAGGTACACAGACACACGGATACACATACTGACACATAGGATACACACACTGACACACATACAAATGTACAGAGAGAGATAAAAAAAACTGACACATACAGTTACACGTACACACTGATACTTATACTGACACACATGCAGATCCACAGATACAAACACTGACACACATGCAGGTACACTAACACACACTGTGACACACATGCAGATACAAAAATTGACACACAAATACACTCACTGGTATGCATACAGATACACAGACACACACACTGGTTTGCATACAGATACACAGATACACATACTGGCATGCATAGAAATACACAGATACAAACACTGACACACATGCAGGTACACTAACACACACTGTGACACACATGCAGATACAAAAATTGACACACAAATACACTCACTGGTATGCATACAGATACACAGACACACACACTGGTTTGCATACAGATACACAGATACACATACTGGCATGCATAGAAATACACAGATACAAACACTGACACACATGCAGGTACACTAACACACACTGTGACACACATGCAGATACAAAAATTGACACACAAATACACACACTGGTATGCATACAGATACACACAGTGGTATGCATACAGACGCACACACTGGTATGCATACGGATACACAGAAACACTCACTGGTATGCAGACACAGATACACACATTGGTATGCAAACACAGACACACAGATACACACACTGGTATGCAGACACAGTGTTGGGGAAGGTGTGGGGGTAGCGGCAGGCAGTGTGTGGGGAGGCTGACCCTGTGGGGAAAGTTGACAGTGTACAGGAGGGAGGGAGGCAGTGTGTGGGAGTGTGACCATGGGGTGGGAAGCAATGTTTGTGATAACAATGTGGATTGGCAGTGTGGGGGGGTTGCACTGTGGATGGGCAGTGTGTGGGAGGGTGACAGTGTGTGGGGGCAGTATTTGGGGAGGTTGACAATGGGTGCCAGCAGTGTGTGTGTGTGTGTGTGGGGGGGGAGGGGGTGACAGTGTTTATGAGGGGGGCAGTGTGTGGAAGAGTGACAGTGTATGTTGAGGCAGTATTTAAAGAGTAGCCAGCATGTGGGCGGGGGGAGTGTGGATAAGCAGTGTGTAGGAGGGTGACAGTGTGGGTGAGGCAGTGTTTGAGGACAATGCACGATCTCCTCTGCGACAGCCTGTCTGGAGGTGCGGTGCAATCTACTCTCTCTTAGCCTGCCTGCCTGCCACAAGGTTTGCTCTACTCTGTCCCAGCCTCCCATGTGATGCTCTTGGTCAGCAAATGGGGGGGGAGGGTCAGGCTGCGGCGCGAGGAGCAAGCTGAGAGTGACATTGCTCTGCTGCAATAAAACTCAGGGCATGGGGACAGTGGTCCAGGATCAGCCCTGTGGTAGTTAATACTGCTATTACTGAAATTTTTTCGCGTACCCCCAGAGGAGCTGTATTGTACCCCTGGGGGTACATGTACAACGGGTTGGGAACCCCTGATGTAAACATAGATGGTACACTACGTAATTACTATGAATTATGTATTATTACTTGAAAGTTCAACACATAGCTTTATATCTTCAAAAAAGTGTGTGTTAATTTTGTCTTGCTTATGTACAATTGGTATGTGTACGTTTTTTTTTTTTTCCGTCAAGGTCAAGATATGTATTTGCAACAGCAAGATACTGTGGTGATTAGTCCACCTAAATGTTTTAATCAAAAGAGGTTTTGAAGGTGCTGAATAGGTCCCAGAATAATACACTGAAAAGTTGGCAAGCCTATGGGGATACTATGTTCGTTGGGCACATGTGCAACTGCCTAGCATGCCCATGCATTAAGACAGCCCTACTGAGTTGCACCATGCACCATAATATCACAGTAAATTAATTTTATTTATCATTGTAGCATTTCCATATTTCCTAAAGATTGGGACTGTTGCTGTTTTCTCCATGGTATTTTATATTCTTTGTAGTATTTTTTATTTTTTTGTTCTGGATTCTTCACTTGTAATTTTTATATTTACTTTTATTCACATTAAATCAGAATACAAACATAGTACGCAGGTATCAGTAATACACAAAGGTATAATAACTGAAGAATGACATCACTCCTATTAACACATAATATCAGAATAAAAGAGTTTTTGCTTTTATAGAAGCGGTAGGCAGGCATGGACTGGCCATCGGACACACCGGGCAAATACCTGGTGGGCAGCGATGTCCATGGGCTGAGGCTGGAAGGAGAGATCACAGGATCTCCATGGCCGGTGCATGCAGGGCCGGCACTATCCGAGTGCCGGCCCCGCTGTTTTCAATGACGGACAGTGTGATGTGGCCGCTGGCTGGGGAGGGAGACAGCCAGGAGAGGAACCCGGAGGAGCTCTATCTTGCAGCTCCACCGGGTTCCTCTCGCGAGATCTGGAGCGTTGCCATGGCAATGCTCTGGGTCTTGCTAGAGTTCACTCACCACTAGCACCACCAGGGATGGCAGCACGGTCCCCCCTCCCAGGCTAAAGGTAAGAAAGGAGGGGGGATACAATCAATGCTTGTTTATTTCATTTTTTTTAAAATTAATATATATTGATAATAATCTGCCCCACCCCCAACACACAAGCCCTTCAAACATATTCACACACCAGCACTCTCACTCACACACACTGCACCCCTGGCACTCACAGCACCCTCATAGACTGCACCCCTGACACTCACAGCACCCTCACTCACACACACACTGCAGCCCGGACACTCACAGCACCATAGCACACACACACTGCACCCCTGACACTCACAGCACCCTTACTCACACACACTCACAGCACCCTCACTCACACACACACTGCACCCCTGACACTCACAGCATCCTCACTCACACACACACACACTGCACCTCTGACACTCACAGCACCCCCCCCACACACACTCACACACACACTGCAACCCTGACACTCACAGCACCCCTATTCACACACACACACACACACTGCACCCCTGACACTCACAGCACCTTCACACACAACTTCCTCACATGCACATGGCGCCCTCACACACACACACTGCACCCATCACTCACACACAACACCTTTACCCAGACAACACCCTCACACACACACTGAATCCCACACACACACACACTGCACAATACTCTTTCCTGGCATTTGTCTCCTGGTATCCCATCTATGGAGACACCAGAGACAAATGTCAAGCAAACACAGTGCAAGCATGTTATTAAATTTGCTTGCGCTGTGCAGAACAAATACAGGGATTTTTCTCTCTGAGCTCTGCGCATGGTCTGCCCTGGAAGAGCATTGAACCAACATGCTTCCCAGTCCGGCCCTGGTGGTAGGTATACATAGTCAACAAACACACTTTTGCCTTGCAGAGATGAAAGGTAGTATTGGCATTGAGAGAATGGCATAAAACAGAAAAAAAAAAGTATATGGCTTTAGAGGAGCATATTATAACAGTGCTGTGTGGCATTTGTAATTAACCTTATATGGAGCCAAAGATTGTTAAAAGTCCTAAATTGGCTGCTTATACTGATTAATTTTACCTATTCTTTTTTTTATTTTGTTTTACCTATTCTTCAGCCACTATTAGTTTTCTTTTTCAAGAGTTGCTGTGTCTTTAGTAAATTAACACAAATCACTTTTTTTTTAATTTTTATAACACTGCCATTTGAATAGTGGCAAACTAGTCTCCTGTTATCCAAAAAATATATAAAAACACCAATATGTTACCTGTAAACTTCAGCCCAAACAAATCTAGCTGTATCTGATGATGATAGTTTTGATTGCCTCCTACACAACCTGAGAGTAAAGAAATGAGCTTTGACACCAATCAATTCATCCCATATGTGCAAAGAATATCAGCAAGGTTATTCAAGTGTGAACTGTCTGGAACTGAAAGTGAATGAAAAATATTTGATCAAAATAGTTGAACTCGAAAGTTTCTACAAATCAAATACATATTCAGCTCGGCTACTTTGGTCTAAAATTTGAATCTCAATTACCCTTACATAGGACTATTTGCCAAAGTCTGAAATCCCCCAGTTTGGATTAGCAAAAAATAATCTCTGGCACCATCGGGGAGCACTTAGACTGCAAAATGAGGACATTGCTCTCAACACTTACCAATGTCCAGATTTTGGAACACGAATTAGATTGAATGGAGGTCTGATTTCAGTTTGTACAGATTCACAAAAATAGGGTGAAATCCAGAACCAAATGATGCAAAAATGCAACTGAACAGAGATAATTAGACAGAATTGGCAAATTTCTACATTTTGTTTGGCCCAAATTTGCACAGAGGTAGTTGTCAATTCTAATAAAAGATATCATTAAAACGGTAACATTAGCACCATTTTGATAACCAACTACTAGGAATGAATGGTTGGTAATGTGGAATAGTCCAATAATATTACATTTGTTTTTATCTTATTGCTTTATTATTCTTTCACACAGTTCCCTGCTACCTCCTTGTGCTACCGGTTGCCAAATATTAAGGATTTCTGTAGACAAAGTACAGCTGAATTTATTTTGCACATTTTCCTTCTCCTGAATTTGAGTAGCGTTAACCTGTTTAATAAGCCATGATTGACAAAAACAAATCCTATATTTTATATAGACTTCGCGTGTGAGAATGACTGATTTTAACACAGACACCGGATTATATTAAATGAGTTAGGCTCATTCATTTGAAATAATCAGATTTAAATTGATTTACCTTTAATAACTATAAAAATTGCAAATATGGTTGCAGTTCTCTTACTTTTTTTTTGACAATCTTTATTTAAAGAAGTTATTGAAATCCTTTTCATGAAGCGAAGGTACAAGAGTGAAAACAGTTAAGTAGGCCTACAGCCGCCATAATAGTACAAAAGTATTTCAACACAGAGATTACACTAGTAGTGAACGTTACAGTAGCAATACCCTGTGGAACAGGTATGACAGACCCTTAACTTGTTTGAACTATGCCCAAGTGGGCGATCGGGATGAGTTCCATATGGGCAGTCAAGTGCCGTAGGTTGTGAGCACGTAGTCTGTGTGTGAACTGGAGGCTTTGGGGAAGAGGGTTGAGGAGAGGAAGTAGGTAGTTCTCTTACTTTAACCAAAATTTGCTCCTTAATGAATAACTGTTGGTAAATAATTGTTTTGTTTATATATTTGGGCCCAGGAAAAGTGGAAATGTGAGCACAGGGCTCAGTTTTGTGTGTTTTTATTTTTTTTTATATTACATTGACACGCTACAGCACTCATCTACAAGAGGTTTACTTTGATGTGGCAGGTGAGCCTATACTTTAATGGCCACTGCAGTGGTACCAAAAAACCTCTGCAATTTAAATGTGCAGAGGGAGTTGGTATAGTCAGCAGGTAGCTTTGCTTGTTCTGATTTATGTATTTGGGTTGCTGAATACTACAGCCATTGCTGCTGGTCAAGAGTTGTGGGCGTTTGAGCTCAGAGTTTCTTATTTCCCTGTGTTTCTGTTAGTGGCGAATGACCCTGAAACAACCCTTGGAAATTCTGAGACATAGACACACTTTCCAAAAAATAAAGGCCAGGTGCCTTGTGCTATTGGATATAAATGCGTCAGACGATAACATGAAAAAGTACGTCTGACTAATTTGAAGCACTTTTCACTTCTTAAAGTATGCATGTCCAGAGTTGCTTCCACACCCAATCCTTGCATTACTGAAAAAAAATCAGAACATTGTGTGTCAGGCAATAAGGCCAACAGCAAGCACTACATATTTCCACCTCTCTATACAGTATGTTGGTAACAACGGTAACTATGACAAAGCAGCCTATATTATTTAACACAAGATTGACTGGCAGGACAGATAACACTAACACCTGACTAGTGTATTGATTTCATTTGAGATGCAAATAGACTAGTGCTAGATTTAAAAAAGAAAGTGAAGGCATGCAGTTAAAGGGACAAAACAGACATCTACGAAGCAAGAATGTGTCTGTTAAAAGAATACATTGAATGAGTTTTGCTGTTATTTATTCATTTGGGGGAGGGGGAATTGTTGCATGTTGCCAGAAGCACAATTTCTGCATAAACAGGAGAAACAGGTCTGAAGCATATCTCTCCCATGCACTACAGAGCAGCAGGGCCAGATAAAGAGCCCATTGGGCCTGGTGCTGACAATTATGATGGGCTTAATTACAGAATCTTATTGACAGAAAACATTAAAACAATCATACCTCCCAAGCGTCATGTATCTGGTGGAGGTGCTGCTGGAGGGAAACTCACAGGAAATAACTATTAGAAAACACATGCACTATGCTGATGTCTCACTTTCATCTTTCAAGTAAATCCATAGCCCCTAACAGCAGTGTCCGGTGAAGCAGGATTTTGGTGGGCGGGTTAAAAGGGTGGGCCATTGATGTGAATCACGTAACCAGAATCACCCAAAGGGATAAACATGCCGAAAAAGGGGTCGTGTCTGCACAAAGAATTAGCTGGTCAGCCTGGTGTGAATGCTTGTCAGGCTGCCTGCCAATCATGCAGGATGACTAACTAGTAGAGTGTTATACAGACAGTGCCCTGAGCTTGGCATAAATGCGTCTAATAATGTGGTAGCTCTACGCTTTCTAAGGACTGTCCCCTAGCACTCACCTGTCCCCCTCCTCTCCTTAACTTCTTATACAGTCTGAGACAGAGGAAAGGTGTATGTAGTGAGTGCCACAGTGTTAGAGAGACTGAAGCAGCAAGAACATTTGCATAGTGCGCAAAGTCAGCTTTAGCTTAACTAATTTAATTGTCAACCAGTTCACACCAGTGTTGTTCACCTACATCCCTCTTACGTTTCCATACTTAAGCAAGAACATGTGAAGAGTAGTAAAATAAATATATATATATATATATATATATATATATTTTATTTTTTTTTTTAAATCAATGGGCCTATTCCACGGGCATGGGCCTGGAGCTGCAGCTCCATCAGCCCCTATGTTAATCTGGCCCTGCAGAGCAGCACACAGCATTACTTATTGCAATGATTTTAAAAATCATGAATGATTTTGTATAAAGCTATTTGACATTAGTATATTTTGCATGACAAAAAAATTTAATTTACCCTAATAACAGGATCACGAGCGGAAAGATTACACATAATTCTTTTTTTTTCGCCTTTACCCAAATAGAAACCAATATATTGTGCATTTGATCTGTGGAAAGCATGTACAGCTGCCTTTAACAATACATCTCACTCATTCCTGACAGTCAGAAGTTGCTGGGTGGCTAATACACCGGAGGCTGGAACCCAAAGCAAAGATACTGCTCGCTCCTGGATATACCTCATCGTTCCTCATCTATTCCAGACTCTGACAATCAAAAATATAACACCAGCAGCATATTCTCACAAATGTACATAACTAACCACTAAGACACACACACAATGAGACAATCACTCGCATACACAGACATACATTCAAACATACAGACACACACATTTTAATACATTCGTCTTGTGCTTAGAGCCACTGTGTGAATTCTAACACCCCACCCTTTCTATCATCTCCTGATTAAGCATGTCCACTAAAAAATACCCAGATGTATGAGCTCACTTTAGGTTTTCCTGTTATGTTCTGCGTCATAGCTTCACTGTACAAATGGCCCATCTGAGTAAATTCCATTTTCCCTAGTGTATGCCTGCTTGTTCTTTATCTAGACACATCTTATTTTGCCTGTCTTTTGACACACACCTTTTCACTTACCATTTATATCTCTCTCATTCTCCTGGGAAGTTTTTATATCTCTCTCTCTCCCTGTAATTAAAAGGTCCACTCAAAGCACAAGGAGTCTCTGGCGCAGTCTCCCTGTGTTTTGTAACAGCATCTTAGAGCAACATCATCTTGTAGATTATTTTTTTTATGAAACATAGAAGTGAAAATGTATAATAAAAAATGAAACAGCAAAAAACGTATAGCAGTGGAGCACCATCGAGTCGTATTAATGAAGGCTAAAACTTGTGCTATTCTGGGACAAAATACTTGATAAGGAGCAATCGCCATGGTATCCTATAAAATGCCTGTTAATATTTGCCCCTTTGCACCCAGAATACTACCTGATTTCCAGTTATAAATATACCTCAATGTTTTTTTTGTGATTTGAGGTTAGGTCTAGCAACCTCTTTCAGTCAAAATGCAGTCAAGTACAACTCCCATTAGTGCTATTTATGTATCATAGGCCTTTGCACCAATGCATATAAACAAAAGCAGAATGATATGCATCTTCCGTCACGTAGGGAAATAAACACTAGCATGATACAAATGACACTTGTGTCCTCCCTGGATAAACTGGTCAAACTTGATTTTCAAGCACCATGTCAGATTCCGAAAGACAGCAAACATGGTCAAATAGTCACTGGGTGGAAATCCTATGGACAACTGATCTATACAATGAGAAGTTTGATGTGTGAAATATGCATTTATGGAAAGTATGGGACAAGCATTGTTTGTTTTTCCTGTAAGATCCTTATTAGTGTATTTATAAGGACTCCTTATACCAAACGTGACAGAGAATGAACCTCAAGCTAGAGAAGACAGACATGGGCGTAGGAACCAGGGGGGATGGGGGGATGCATCCCCCCCCCCCCAGCAAATCATGCAGGGGGGGACAGGTTATAGAGAAATCCCCCCCAGCTCCGCCGACCGCGGGTGGCTCCATCAGGGAACCTCACGGACAGCAGACTGGGAAGGAGAGCACCTCCCCCTCTGTGCAGGAGCGCCGGGTGTCACGTGACTACCCGGCGCTCAGTCTGACAATGCGCCCGCCAGACGTCCAGAGGTCCCCCTGCTATGTCAGGTAAAAGGGGGGGACAACAATTTGTAGTGGGGAGAGCAGAGCTGGTCACCTCTGAAAAGAAAAAAAAACAGGATGGGAGGAGGGGGAAGGTAGAAAAATAATTGGAATGGTTTAGGGGCTTCTAATATGGTTGGGAGGAGGTAAAAAAAAGAATTGGAAGGGGTTAGGGCGGCTACTAATAAGGATGGGGGAGAGGGGTAGGTAGAAAAATAATTGGAAGGGTTTAGGGGGGCTACTAATATGGATGGGAGGAGAGGGAAGGTAGAAAAATAATTGGAAGGGGTTAGGGGAGTACTAATATGAATGGAAGGGGTTAGGGGGGTACTAATATGCATGGAAGGGGTTAGGGGGGGTTAATATGCATGGAAGGGGTAGGTGAGGTTCTTATGTGCATGGAAAGGGTAGGGGTGGTTCTAATATTCATGGAAGGGGTAGGGGTGGTTCTAATATTCATGGAAGGGGTAGGTGGGGTTCTAATATAAATGGAAGGGGTAGAGACAGGTAGTAAAATGTATGGAATGCACTTCTGAAAGTGTCACTGAATGGCAGTTAAGAAATGTGGTCACCCTAAGTCAGGGGCAGTATTACACAATCTGTATATGTATAAAAAATATAAAAAGTAATCTGCAAAGTACAAAATGTCGTGCTAAAAATTAAGCTAGGAATGTGCATTTTTTTTTTAATACTTTTTAGAATAATGATACAGACATTTTATTTCTTACATTTGTGATGATTCTTTTTTCCCCCTCTATTTTCAAGGGACACTATAGTCACCAGAACCACAACAGCTAAACGTAGTAGTTCTGGTGTCTATAGCATGTCTTTGCAGGCTTTTTAATGTAAGCACTGACATTTCGTTAAAAAGGCAGTATTTACATTACTGCTGAGGAATACCTCTAGTGGACACTCAGATGGCCACTAGAGGTGCTCGCTAGTCGAGACAAGAATGCCGCCCTATGAGGTATCTGCGCATGTGCGGCAAAGCTGCACATGCGCACCAGGGAGCAATGGCGCTTCTGAATAGAAGTGTTTTAATGCTCCCTGCTCGCACCCTCCTATTTCGTCATTTTGATGAAATAGGGGGCGCGGCATCTGGGTAAGTAAATCCCCTTCCCTGTAGTGACCCTTTAATGTTATTATTTTATCATTTATATAGCGCCAGCAAATTCCGTAGCACTGTACAATGGGATAACCAACTCCTAGTTTACGGAATCAAAATATACCCGGCGAGTAAAAATGATATCCCCCCAGATTTTTGGGGGTTCCTACGCCCATGAAGACAGGTAGCTTTTAGATGTTGGTAATACTCCGTCCCTCACTAAAGTAAATGTTCTCTGTTTAAAAATATATATAAAATATGCTTTGCTTTTAATTCCCTTCCAGGTCACCATTGCCATTATCTTTCCAATACACTGCACCTGCATGCCCACTGAGCAATATTTGACCTTTTCTCTGCAATACATAGGCATGTTTGGAACAAAAGGGGACAGTTTGCACTGGAACCCGATTCCAGTTTGTGTCAACACAGCAATTTGTTGTTTTAATTTAAAATAAAAGAACAATAAAGAGTTAACCTTTGATTTGCCATTACAATATGCAATCATATGAATATTATCTTCTAGTCGGGACTGGTGGTCAAAATGCCAGAAACAAACCACAAAAATAAAACATCATTGCTAAATAAAAATAGCAAAACAAAAGTGTTGGGGTGTGTAAAAGAAAATATGTGGACCCAGATGTCTTTGTTTTGTCTATTTGAAGCAACTGAATTGCTACTCTGGAGCTGCTGCAGGTTCAGCTGGAAACTCAAGCTTTTCTTGCTTTTGGTAAGCCCACAAAAAGCAGCGCTTTGTATATTTAAATTGGAAAAATATGCAAGAACTTCAAAGGGGACTATCTTTATATTCAGAGGCATAGCAAGGTCACGAGGAGCCCCGGGGCAAGTTCTTTATTTGCGCTCCGCTCCAGATTGTAGGTCCATGGCTGAATATTTTATAAAAATAATAATAAAAATAATTATAAACATGTCTAGATCCCCATTCATTTTAATATCTGCTGTACAGGACTACGCTAGCATACTAAATGGTCTATTCACTAAAAAGTGAACTGAGGTCAATTGGTAAGGAAATTGCAATACCTAAGTGACTTGAGAAAAAAAGAGTTGAATGGGAGACTTTCTGAAATTTTGCTGTTTTGGTCTACATAATGGAATAAGCTTAGGAATTCACCACATTTCACTTTTTACGGAACTATTCCCTAAAGTGATAATTGTCAGGAATTCAAAACGAAGACCAAAATAGCCAAACTGTAAATATTCTCCAAGTCAGCTATGTTTCTATTATGGCTACTTTGGCCTTAAATCGAAATTAATTTTGTCATCACCAATGACGTGCAGGACTTTGACTTACTACAGAGAGCAATGTGTGCCTATCAAGCTCCCTTGTCCATGGCTGCCCACTGACTAAAGCCTGTTGGTGGTTGCCCACTTTGCTCGCTATTCCACTGTTTAACTATTTTCTTTTTTTTCTTTTAACAGGAGCCAATGCAAGACTGGATTGAATTTTTAAATGTTGTGTCTACACTGAAGAAGCCTTCTGATACACTTTTTTAAAATCTCTTTTAAGGTCCCACGAAATGTAGTTTAAAAGGCACATCATGCCCCAAACAATTTATGTTCATTAGATTGAGCATAAAATGTTATCTATAAATTGTGCTAACAGCTTGCTAACAATTGCATAGATTAGGAGAAAAACCTATAGATTAGGAGAAAAAAATAATTATTTTTTTCTCCCAGCAGAAAATACCTCTCACAGAAGGTCCTTCAGTTCTCCACCCATAGGATCCACAGTACATGCACAGTGGATGCTATGAAAAATCCCTACCCGGCTCTTCTAGTGCTGGTTAGGGAGTATAGGAACGGAGTAATGTCACTAATTGACAAGATTTGAGGATGTGTCCCAAGCAGGGCAAACCAAAGAAGTGAAGGATGGCCAGGAGGTGGCCAGGAGGTGCAGGAGTGAAGGATGGCCAGGAGGTGCAGGTGATTGCAGGTAAATTAAATTATTCATAACAGGTTCATTTTAATTTCTCACTCAGCAGATCTGGAATGTACATTGTACGTGTCCATCAAAATTTGGGGCTTTTAACATAGAAACATACAATATGATAGCGTATAAGAACCATTCGGCCCATCTAGTCTGCCCAATTTTATAAATACTTTCACTATTCCCTAACCTTATCTTATAGTTAGGATAGCCTTATGCCTATCCCACGCATGCTTAAACTCCTTTACTGTGTTAACCTCTACCACTTCAGCTGGAAGGCTATTCCATGCATCCACTACTCTCTTTGTGAAGTAATACTTCATGATATTATTTTTAAACCTTTGCCCCTCTAATTTAAGACTATGTCCTCATGTTGTGGTAGTTTTTCTTCTTTTAAATATAGTCTCCTCCTTTACTTTGTTGATTCCTTTTATGTATTTAAATGTTTCTATCATATCCCCCGTCTCATCTTTCCTCCAAGCTATACAACACTCTTGACACTTGTTTTAAAAAGCCATATTTCACTGGATAGATAACACTTACAGAGTGATTCATTAAAGTGAAAATTGTCAGGATTTCTAAGTGAATTTAATGGGACTTTTAGGGCCTAAACGATTTTCTGGGGTTGCTGTGTCGCTCATGCAAGAACTTGTTGACATTTCGGTTTTGGACTGCCTTTAAGGGTGAGATCAGGCTGATATGCTTTAGAATATGTTCTCCCTGTAATGGCACAAGTAAGTAAACTATTTTGAGATCTGAGCGGGGATTTACCGAAAGGCAAGCTTCCGAGTTTCTCTAAGCTTTTGTCCGTTTTGAACTCAGAGTTCTCATATTCTTTAGTTTTTGTTAAAAAGTGACATTTTCTCAAAAAAATCAATACACTTAATTGAAAAAGAATATCTTTAGGTTTCATTAAATATAATAAACTTTAATTTGAAATATAATAAACTTTAATTTGAAATTTTACTTTAAGTTCCCCCAAATCCTCGCTTTAGCAAATAAAATATATATTAGCATAGATGCAATATGAAATTATATGGATCACTATTTCTCTATGGTGTGAATCGCTCTATGTAGGGACATTGTTGTTGTAGAGGATTTGTAGAGTTTGGAGAATTTCGATAGACGAGTTATCCACATGGATCCATTGGCACAGTTACAGTTTTGGTTTCTGTGACACTCTGGAAAAATGGAAAAATCCCCAGACAGTGCAGTGTAAGAATGGTATTACCAATTTAATTTTTTTTTTATAGAACTGCACTCACTCCCATCAGTCAGAGCCAGGGTGCTCACTGTACCAGAACCAAACACCAGATTCCAAAGATCAATTGAATAAAATAAAAGGGGTCCAGGCACTCCTTGGTTCAAGACAGGCACTTTATTGGAACCACAGCAACGTTTCAACCGAATTGGTCTTTATCAAGCTGATAAAGACCTATTCGGTCAAAACGTTGCTGTGGTTGCAATAAAGTGCCTGTCTTGAACCAAGGAGTGCCTGGACCCCTTTTATTTTATTCAATTACCAATTTAAAGGCATTTCTGCCCATGCAAGGACTTGTGTAATGGTCTGTGCAGTCTCAGATGTTTGGCAGTTGTGGTTGGGTGACATGCCCCCCCCCCCTTTTTTTTTAGCAGTGCCTCATACCAAGCTTTAGCGGGGATGTGTGTTGCATTGCTGACATTTTCAGAAACCTCCCACACTTCCATCCTGCTGTAATACACCCTAATGCTAGGAGACATGCAATCAGAAGTAAATATGCCGTGATTTTGCCTGGCTTTAAATCACATATTGAGAAACTATGATTGCTATGCATTCCTTCAGTAGTGGTTTATATATGTGTCATGCCTGCAGTTTGTATTTACAGAGAGCAAAGCAAGTTAAGAAAGGTACAGTGGTCATGTGCTTAGCATTCTTGTGTCCCCTGATGTCATCACTTTGGTGAAGAAATTCCACCCATTTGACATTTGGTTTCAGCATTATTAATCATACTATGAATCTGCATCGTAACAACATAAAAGGTCAAGCTAGGTACTATATATTTTTTTGAAACACTAAATAGTACAATGCAAATCATGAGCATTAATTAAATCAATGCTAGATGGGTACAGAAACAATAAGGGTCCATGTCACTTTAAACATTGTATGCATTCTTGATGGCCCTTTAAGTTAATGTTTCAGTTACATGATAGGAGTCATGTAAGTGTCAAGTCTTGTATGGATCTTTTAATCTCGCCCCTTCATAAAACCGGAAAGTTCCATATCCATTATACATATTCGACAGCACATTCCAGTTTTACAATGGGACTATAACAGCACCAGTTGACATAATGTCATGATTGAAGTACACGATTCTCACTGACAGTACCATGGGCCAACCACCATTCAGGGATGTCCACATGCTTAACACTATTGAAGAACTCTCTCGCGCTCAGTGGGCGTCAGGCAGTGGGCAGGCAAGTTTACCTAACACAGTGCAAGCACATTTAATAATGTGCTTTCATTGCACATTTTGCTAACTTCATCCAATCTGTGGTAGCAGGACATTTGTGAAGGTCCCTTCAAAACCCGAGCCTGTTGAGAGGTATGAAAAGTGGAACAGTCACCAAGGCAACCAGTAGAATACTCTTTCAGATTTCTCCACAGAAGTGCTTTTTTTTACCAGTATTGCTTTTATGCACCGAAACGCGTGTCAGGTTATCTCTAATCTCACTTTGAGACTATGGGCATGGTGTTGGATTATTTTATCTGGGCACTTTATGCAGGTTTGGCTGTATCCAAACATTTTTAACTAGACACCGACCGAGTGATATGCTGCTAATTTAATCTCTTTTTTCCCCCCTATTTCCTATCTAGTCAGATTTACAGGGAGAGAGGCTTACTATCATTTTTTCCTTTCATATCCCTTTCTGTCATTTCATACTTAGACTTTCCATGCTGAGCTTACATACTTGGACACACACAGCATTGGACACACGCATATATTTTTAATTGGACTAATTTGCAAATGCCATTGCAACACCACTAGCAATACATGCTAGTATCATAGATACTATTGACATTATTGCTATTTGTATCACCTGGATACATTTTTTGTGATGATTTTTTGCTCCATCTCAGGCATAAGTCTGATTTAGAAATATACACAGGATCTACTTTATACTAGGCTTATTTTAGCTGATTTTTAATAAAGCCAGTCATGTGCACTGTTTAGTAGACCTGTCACATCAGGTATAGGATTAGCCTTATAAGGCTAAGTTGTTTACGTATATAGTTAGTTTGTAAATAATTTAAGTTTCTGTTGCAATCATTTCTTCCTCTTTTTTTCCCCTAATTTTCTATCTAGTCAGATTTAAAGGGAGAGAGGCTTACTACAATTTTCCTCCTTATATCTCCTTCTTACCAGTCTATGCGAAGACCAGCCATGCTGAGTTAACACACCCTTTGACTCTGTATTAAGCACAGCACTTGACAGACGTATATCTTTGTACATATATTGGTACTATCCTGCAATTACTATCACAACATCAGAAGTAACACATGCTAGTATTATCGATACTATTGGCATAATTACTTTGTATATTATTTGGATCCACATACTGTGATGATATTTGCTCAAATCTTACTAATATACATACAGTATCTACCTTACACTGGATCTACTTTTTACCAACAATTAAGCCAGTCATGTGGTAGACCTGTTTCACCTAATATAGAAATAGCCTTACAAGGCTAAGGAATTTATGTATAGAGCCATTTTGCTTATAAGTTAAGTTTTTGTTACATTTGTCTACAATTACTTTAGATACTGGTATATATCCAGGGAGCCCTCTCCTCACTTATGTGAGAAGATTTTGACGTATTCTTTTTTCCTTTATTTTTTTAACAACCCTCTCAATATCACTTATTGTTTAATTCTATATGCCAGTGTCCGCTGGTTTGTGATAATCACAGTCTAAGCATCCAAAATACACCGTTATCTATTCTTTAGAACTTGCATTTACATCGAAAATTTTGCTTTCCTGCAGCCAGAGGTGCAATATCTTGCTAAGAAAGAAACATATATAATCACATGTCCCCCAATTTTTTAAGTTAGCAATGTCAACTTAAAAAACATATAAACTGCCTGTGTTAGATATATAACATAACTATTTCAAGTCTGCCAACTGAAATAAAGAATGTTTATCAGCAGAAAATGTCTACCAGCAGCAAAGAGGAGATGTTAGACAGACAGAACATTTTTTATCATATGCTGTTTTGCAATCTGAATATCATGAGAAATTAAAACATTTCAGAGATGTCGCCAGACTGAATAGTTAGTTACTGAGAATGAGATATCTGTTTACATCTTGCACAGTATTTCTGATAACATATATTCACCGTTACTTTATTGTGCAATATATTCAGCCTTCCTCACCCCCATGTCTGGCTATCCTCTCAATCCAATCCAACCAAGCCAAGCAGAACTGGTGTACCTGAGCCTTTTCTCAACCTAGATTACTATTTATCTCACCAGTGGCGGAATAATGTAGGGAGGGCCCTGGTGCAAGAATTGTTGGTGCTTTGTTTTTCTTTGTTTGTGTTGTATATTTTTGTTGTTGTCACAGTTTGGCACATATCCAGGCCAGCACAAATGTAAGTTGCAGTTCGTTGCCCAAAGCATGGCAGAAGGCAGGCTAAGCAGGAATCGTGGATTCAAGTTGGGTTACTTGTCCGTATTGTAATCCCCCAAACAACTGACAGGTGGTTACTGGCTTGTGAATGTATTTTTCAATAAAGCTGTGGCTATTGCCCTATCCACTAATCATGGATTTGTGACTGGTTTGTTTAAGGGGAAGCAGGCCCTCTTAGCGTTCCATAGCAATAATACTTACAGTAAATTGTCTTTAAACTACAATAATTATATTTAGAAAACAGTGTGTGGATAAAATATATTGTGCTTGTTCTAAATTACATTTTAGTGATAGTTAATTTAATCACAAGTTCACACAATATGACAAAAAAAACCTCAAGGTAAACAACACCCTTATAGTGCATATATAAGGTTATACTTACGAATGGGCTCTTTATTAACAATTCGAGTGCGGAGCGGATTGTAGAGCCTACCAGGCTCTGAATACTACGCCCAAAGGCTATGGATACCACTTGCAGATGACTTTCGAGATCCAATATAGTATCAGGAACACTAGGATCAAATGAAGGAAAAAATGTATTGGACAAGTAAAAATAAAAAAAATTTAATTTTTATTTGTCCAATAAATTTTTTCCTTAATTTCTAGGTCATTACCATCTAACATCTGGTGGTTAGCGTTTAAGATCCCTGTTTTAGATACTCCTATTTTCCATGTTTCCACTTTATTTTATTTTTCCTTTCGGCTTCACTTGTTCCCTAATTTTTAGGTACCAATTCCTTTCTTATACATCCAAGGTAGGCAGATCGACATATTTTTGCAAAACTATAGTGTCTTGCACTGAGCAGGATTTTAAAGTGACGGCCAACATAACTCACAGCATTCAAATTCTTTTGAAATAGACACCATCATATTTTTATAGACCTTCAAAAAGCTTCCTCATTTTTTTGGTGCTTGTAAACAGGTGTGGGGGATAGGCGAATTCTACAACTATACACACAGCTTAAACATTTGCAGAATTGTGTCTTTTTCCAAAGTGATGTTACTCTACTGACCGCCCCTAATTTTCTTGTTAAAGGACCACTCGTTTTCCTGACACTATATAACCCTTAGGTCCCCCCCTACCCTCAGGGCCCTCCTCCCTTCAAACCCCTTCAGCTACTTACTTTAAATCGACGTCAGCCCGTGACTGGGGCGGAATGCGCATGCGCATGCTTTCCTATGGACGTTCTGCGCGCTGAATGTGATTTTCGCATTCAGCGTCGCAGAAGCGCCTCTAGCATCTGTCAGGAAGACAGCCACTAGAGGTTGGATTAACCCTGCAATGTAAACATAGCAGTTTCTCTGAAACTGCTATGTTTACATCTGAAGGGTTAAAACCTGGGGGACCTGGCACCCAGACCACTTCATTGAGCTGAAGTGGTCTGGGTGCCTATAGTGGTCCTTCAATGTACAATAATATATAGACAACTATTTGTCAGTAGGATGTGAAATAAATAAATATGTGTGTGCTTTTAAGGGTAAAACATTTTATTCGTCATTATCAAGGTTTAACAGCAGGGGAAGTTACCTTTTCCCCAGCACCACATTAAGTCTCTGTGCTAGCATGGAGTAATGTTTAAGGTGAACACAAGGTTACAGTTTATCAGAGATCTGGAATGTTTTCTGCACAAGAATTTAGCTTTCCTTATCTGCCCAGTGTTTGTTTCATGAATTCTTTTTTTTTTTTCTCCAAAAAAAAGAAGCAACAACACAAAACAAAAACAAACAAAATTACTATATTATCCAGAAAAAAACGCTTTTGTAGAAAAACTCCACTTTCTGGCTGCATTGTTTGAGTAAGTAGAAATCCGTTTTGTATTACATGTCCAGCCATAATGCTGAGCCAAGCACACTAAGTGCTTATGTGCTACCCTTTATATGCAAAGGGGAAAAATATGGTGTTAAAAGAGCAAGAGACACAGAAACTTGTTCTTTTTTGACCATGAAATATTTTTTGTATGTGAGGAGTGGTTATAAATACCTAAAATATTTTAAATAACTTGACAGTTCATTCAATGGCATATTGCTGCACTCAAAGTCCCATTGCATTCACAATGTTTTTTAACAGATTACCATAGGTAATACACACACAGTAGGTGAGCTGAATTAGTTCCAAAATATAGAAATAGATATTTTTTGGGATAGTAATAGAAGCCGTTCTACTGGTTCTGTTAGTTTGTATTGTTCTATCATTCAGGTTTTTCTGAGTAATTTCAGTGACTTCCTAGCCTGGGTAGGGTCATTACAGACATCTGGAGATTTTCAGCAGACATAGAAACTTCACAAATTTTTATTTTTAATCCATTGTCTTTATCACAAATTGCAAAACATGGGTTTGATTATTTATTTATTACTTGTACTTATAAAGCGCCAACATATTCTGCAGCGCTGTACTATTAGGGTAGGACATACAATCTACACAGACCAGTAAAAAAAAGGTAGAGAGAGCCCTGCCCATGAGCTGAGATCTACCCGTTGAAGCTATTTTATACAAAGTGCTTAGTTAGATAGCCTGTGAGCTTACAGTCTAAAGGATATGATGGAGATCTGATACATGAGGTAGCAGGGATTGATTACATATTGTCCATTTAATACGGTTGCCTCCTCTAGAAAATAATTTTTATAATATATAATGTATATTATGTATATCATAGAAATAGATGGCATATCCACTTTAACAATTTATTCTCCATATACCTTGCATTGAATCTGTTCAATGTCTGTCCCCATCCCAAAAGCTATAGAAACGCGTGGGAATAATGAATATAATGACAGGGTGTAGGAACAAAAATATTTGTCTCAGTTAATAGATGACTAACGACAACATCTCTAAACCACAATGACAAAGAGCATTGTAACAAGAAGACTTTTTTTTTGCCATTTTTCATTTCTGAAAACATTGTATTTTCTAAAAATGATGGCATATAGTTATTGGAAGCCAGATATGTCTATTAAACTGAATTTGTTAATCTAATAGTTTGATTTTAGCAGTGTGTTATTAAACACTTTGTATAGTGTATCACATGATCTAGTGTTGATACAGCTCCAGACACCTTTTGGCATAATATTGGTAAATTCCTGTGTCTTCCCCTTCTCATTTTTTTTTTTTAATTTGAATAAAGTTATAAAGGCAGTAAAAAAAAAAACAACAGCTTTTCTCACATCTGTTTTTGCTGTTGATCCAAAAGAATCGTAAAAAAAGCCCATTAGAAGCACTTTCCAATTCTGCAGTTTGCTTGTAAAATCGGCCCATTACAAGATCATTGACGTAGCTATCTTCTTTCAGCTTAAAACAATAAACCTATTAAGAATGCAGTGAATTTTTCTTAACTAGGCCAGTGGTAAATAGAAAAGTGAACCATATGAATATTGAAAAGTCAGCATCTACGACCTTAAAGATGAAAACGCTAGTAGGGTTATTCACTAAACAGAACGGGAATTCAGAGCAAATTTTCAGTTTTAGGGAAGAATAGAGCTGAAACTTCGTATCTGCAAAAATAGCATTTTTTACTATTTAGGGCCTAAATTTGGGAATCCACTTTAAATTTTTAAACAATTCACACATGGCTATTCACTTTGCAAATCAGTTTTTAGTTTAGTAAATAGAATCCCAGTTAGGAATAGTGTGTAAACAGTCTCTGGTTTACAGCAACTGAAAACACAATTCCCTTTGTAAAAATATATATATTTAAAAATGTAGTCAGTCCTTGCACTCACACTTAGTGAACTGTTTGCCGGGAAAATTTCAAATATGTACAGGCAGTGATCAGCACTCTCGGACTTTTGAAGGTTAAAATTTACAGTTTATTAGTAATCCATTAAAAATCAGATCAACGTTTCAGTCCCATCAGGGACTTTCATCAGGATCAAGTTGAATGCTCATGAAAATAATGGTATCAGAGTATATAAGCAGCACTGTCCTCAGAATCCAATCCATCCTTTACAAATGGAATTTTTTAAATACTAGTTCATGGAAGGGCTTGGACAGTTAGAGGTATGTGTAAGCCAAGATAGCTAACTCTTTGAACAGAAATATTATGTGCAATGAAAGCTTATAACAACAGTGCGCTGTTATTCAAATGTAAGCTGTCTAAATCAAATTAAATTATGTTTGTAAAAAATGTTTAATAAAGTTGTTTTTCTTTGTTAGGGTTTGACTCATTTTTGTGAAAAAAAAGCCTTGTAGGCATTAACACACCCAAGTCAATGTCAGTCAGTGTTTGTGTATAAATCTTCAGCAAATTAACCCCATCATATGTGAACATTGTATCCAGCTAAAAATCTAGGGATATGGACTTCTAGTATTCAACTGGCTGAAGATTTCAACTCTCATTGAGCTCAATCATTTGATTAGTTTGAGTCTAATTAAAGATCCAGCTCAAACGAGATTGCATGTCTCAGTACAATGCATAACCCACTACAAAGTGCTTGATTATTTATTTAAAAAAAAAAAAAAAAAAAACCTCCGTGTTTTTGGACGTAAAAAACACAAATTTCTAGATAATTTTACAAGTATGATGAAATAAATCCTAGGAGCCAAATATCCAACTTGTCCCACTGCACTGGGCATTTATCTGTAATACTTTAATAGAATCCATTCATTCAGCAGCGGGGACCGGATTTCTGGTAGTTTATTAATCCAGCTAATCTCAGTTTAGTAAAAGGACAGATAACGTGGAGTGATTCGTATTAGTAATGCATACTCATTGACATGTGTTGCTAGTACAGGGAGCCTAAATGGAATCATGGAATCTAAAGTAACGGCAGTGTAACCCTCTTATAAACCATTAACACCTGAGCAATCAAAACACTGAATAATTAACAGATCATTAACTAATGCAACGCCGTGCAGGAGCCACAGCGATATAATGAATTCAAAGCAAAACATGACATTCCCTTACAAGCTGCACCTAATAGGTAAGACTCACCTGAGAGGTCGCAAGGCGAACAAGGTGATCAGTGTTACTCAGGAGGGATCCTGCTCATGAATGGGACAGGTGGAGTAGCAAGGTGTGCAGTGAGGGAATGGGTGGAACACAGGACTGACAACCTGAATACGCCTTGAAAGGGGACCTAGGGAAAGAAATCATCCCATGACCCCTAGTGGCAGATATAAGGAATTGCAATAATAAATATACACTTTAGGAAAAAGTAAGAGTGCAGATACGAACTTTTATTTAAGTAAAAGCAGAAAAAAACACTACTCATTAAAATTAAAACTGAGCTTAATTCATTTGCAAATCATTTCATAGTATCTTTCATGGAATTCCAGTAGATTATCCGGTGTTGTACAGTGTATGTTGATATTTAAAGGGACACTATAGTCACCAGAACAACAACAGCTTAATGTAGTTGTTCTGGTGAGTATAATAGCTCCCTTCAGGCATTTTAATGTAAACACTGCCTTTTCATAGAAAAGGCAGTGTTTACATTGCCCCTAGGGACACCTCCTAGTGACCACTCCTTAGATGGCCACCAAAGGGGCTTCCTGGGTCAGGGCTGCACAGTGAGCAGCATTGCCATTCAGCGTCCCCACATTCTGCATGGGGATGCTGAATTTTCCTCATAGAGATGCATTGATTCAGTTCATCGCTAGGTCCTGATTGGCCAAAACAGCCCTATGGGGAAGCATTGGATTGGCTAAAAATCAGCCATTTGATGATGTCACAAAGGGGGCAGAGCCAGCACAGGCAGATCCACGCAGCACTGGTAATGAGGAGAGTTTTACATTTTTATATGGTGGCTAAAGCGGGGGGGGGGGCATTCAACCTTAATGGTGGGTTAAACACTATAGGGTCAGGAATACATGTTTGTGTTCCTGACCATATAGTGATCCTTTAACATAAAGTTTAATGTAATAAATGTATAGTTACATCATAAAGGTACAGGATTATTAATTTAAAAGAGGGCAATACATGATATATATGATTATGACCATAAGCAGATCAGATTCCTGTTGCAGCAGTGTTGCAAAAGTTTCTTAAAGGAACACTGTAACCGTGGCTGGTTCCCTTATTTACCACTATTACGTCTTAAAGCATAGAACATAGTAGAGCTAACCATACAGATATCTTAGCCAATATATAAATAATTGAGAATACAATATAAAATAAGGATTGTCTTGGAAGCAATAAAGATTTGTCTTTTTGATATTTAAAGTCTGAAGATCCTTATCTACTAAGGTTACCACAGTATATTACGTACTGAAAGAGTCGTAGTATAGCCTTGAAGCTTGTTTATGCATTATTATTGTAATTCGTTTGGGATAAAATGGCGTAAACATAATATGCACTGAGGTTATTGCTTAAAGAAACAGTCATGATTAACAATATGTTCCATTTCTTACACCTTGTCAATTTGCAATATCTCTTAAAGACAAAGTACACAGTTTAAGAAATACAACATTTCATTCTAAAACTTGTAATATTTGCATTTGCCCATAACAACACTATAGCGCTAGGAATACGATGTGTATTCTTATCACTGTAGGGCCTAAGTCACTATTTAAGGGATTTGGCCCAAGCTGCAGGGTTAAAAGGTGAGCTTACTCACCTTTTCTCCCTTGCGATGCTGGTTCCTAGCACTCAGCTCCTCCTTTTTGGCTGCGATCATCTAGGCAAGCATTTGGAGGCTATTGCACATGCTTGGCAAAATGGAGCCACTAGAGGCAGGTTAACTCTGCAACTAAAACATTGCTGTTCCTGCCGAACGTTTTATAGCTGCAGGGTTTAAATGGAGGGAACATGAAATGGGAGGAACACCCAGACCACTTCACTTCCCCATGACTGTATATAGTGTATTATGTATGGGTAACACAGGCTTGATACGTAGATAAATGGCATTGCACTCACATTTTGAGGAGCCTTCTCCTAGTAAACAGCCTGGGGTGTTATAATCCCCACTCTGGGATATATACTGGTGGGTGAAGTTGTGTCTGTGGTAGCACGTAAAGAAGAACAAAAATAAAACAAATATTGTGTACACTGTGAATAAAATATGTACAATAAATGGAAATCTGCCTACTGGTTTAGAGCAAAAGAAGAGTTTTGCTCAAACCACAATACTTGGGTGGTACATTCCCCAATACCAAAATAGAATATGATGTCAAGACAGCAGTAGAATAAAGCTGGGTGGTCCAGCAATAGCAGAAAATATCTATCTTTATTTGCATATAATTAAAAGACAACATATTAAAATATAACACTGACATATTTCACCACTCATAGGACTTAATCAAAGTGTTTGATTATACCATATTTCAGATGCACAGTAGTCATACATTTTGTAGTGCTATGAAAACCGTCCTCATAGTCCATGCTTTGACCTGTCATGGTTACCCTTGTGGTGAATCTGATAGCGTGTTATTTCCATGTATTGATTCCTGTTTTTTCTGTATTTGGCTAGCCTTTGACTAATTTCCTAACTGCTACCCTAGACCATGACCTGTTTACTCTTTACCTTAGTCTTCTGCTGTTCCAGATCTTTGGTAGTATTTGATTATTTTCTATTCCTGTTCAATATGCTAATTTTTAACAATGTTAACTTCGTCCAACCTTTAGGACTAGTAACATATTATAACATAATGACTAGTAACACGAATCTGTTCATTAAATTCCAAACAATACAAATTGACAGCACACATTATGATTATATTTACTTTTATAATATAAAATAATACGTATATGCCATATAGTACAAACATAAAAGACATAGTAACAACCCCTGGATGTTGGGCTAAGGTAACATCCCCAGGACGTACTTGAAAACCAGAGTAATCTGATTGTACATTTCCTGGTTAAATACTTTGTTATTATTAATATAGTGTAGTATGTAAAATTAATTATGAGGTAGTGAAATAACTTGGAGAACTCAAAATTTACAGAGCCTATAAAAAGTTGGCTCAGGACTGTAAATGCACTTCATCCACATAAAGGTATACCTGGATACTGTAGCAGGTCCAATGGAGCACAGATGTGTTTTCACTGTCCAGAAAAGTCAGGAACCAAAGCAATAAAGGTAGAAAAACATTAGTCACAATACTTTTGACCTTTTAGGGGTCTTCCTCAGGTCCAATATCGCATAAGCTACCCATTTCATATTTCAGAAGCAGCCACATGCACTGTAGCACAACATTCATAAGTCTTCCAAACTGCCAACACTGGCAGAAGTTCTGGACAGACTAAGCACAACTTAAGAAATTTGAGCAGATGTCACATAAGATTAACTATACATTACAATACAACACAACTAGGTTTGAGAGGATATAGACTAAAACTTCCTGCACTGTGAGCTCATCATTTGGGTCTCCATACCCCTCTTTTTCCCCCCCTCTACCTCCTTCTTCCCTCAACTATTTCAGCTTGGTTATTTATAATATATGTCAAAATATAACACACGTGAATAAAAATATAACACACGTGAGTAAAAATTATTTTACCAGATGTAAGATTGTAAGAAGACCCCTCAGACCTTCTCAATACAAATATAAAAAAATACAATCTACAAAAAAAGAATAAAAATAGAGAATATATAGTGTAGTAGATTTGAACACCAAATTTTGCACTAGTAAAATTGCACTCACAAGATGAGAGAGTAGTAAGGGCATATAACGGTCTTTAAACTTGACGGACAGCTGTAGTCTTCTAATTTCACCTTAGAGAGGGAGAGACACACAAACCATAGTGCATTACACTCACAAGATAATAGTTGTAATCCAGCTTGTCAAAATACTTGGGGGATAATGGTGCCGGCGTCCTTTTTCCCTTAGCAAGTAGTGACAGGACAAACCAAATCAAAAACCAAATAAAAACATAAATAAAAATAGAATAAATATCAACAATGACAATAACAAGGTGCTGTCGTGGTCCCTCCACCCTACGCGTTTCGTCTCCAAACGAGACTTCCTCAGGGGCTAGTGAAGGTGCATGTTACAGTCTATCGAGTCCGTCGTTTAAAAAGCCGTAGGTTCCCGCCTTCTGTGTGGCCAATCGAGGTATATCACCTGCGTTCATTTAATGCGTTCCAAACCTCATTTTCATTTTCATTTCGGACAACTTCCGGTCTTGCGTGGAAACAACATCCGGTATTACGTGGAACGCAAACATGCGTTCCACAGCCGAAAAAGGGGAAGAGCATAAACCCATACAGAGAGAGTTGATTATCACAGAAACAAATAAAAAGAATTGATTATCATAAAAACGAATAAAAAGAAACATTTAAACATAAATAATTATTAGTATTGTTAGAAGAAGAGGTCAAATACCGCATATAATATATTGGGTTTCTCTATATTATATGCAGTATTTGAACGCAGGTGATATACCTCGATTGGCCACGCAGAAGGCGGGAACCTACGGCTTTTTAAACGACGGACTCGATAGACTGTAACATGCACCTTCACTAGCCCCTGAGGAAGTCTCGTTTAGAGACGAAACGCGTAGGGTGGAGGGACCACGACAGCACCTTGTTATTGTCATTGTTGATATTTATTCTATTTTTATTTATGTTTTTATTTGGTTTTTGATTTGGTTTGTCCTGTCACTACTTGCTAAGGGAAAAAGGACGCCGGCACCATTATACCCCAAGTATTTTGACAAGCTGGATTACAACTATTATCTTGTGAGTGTAATGCACTATGGTTTGTGTATCTCTCCCTCTCTAAGGTGAAATTAGAAGACTACAGCTGTCCGTCAAGTTTAAAGACCGTTATATGCCCTTACTACTCTCTCATCTTGTGAGTGCAATTTTACTAGTGCAAAATTTGGTGTTCAAATCTACTACACTATATATTCTCTATTTTTATTCTTTTTTTGTAGATTGTATTTTATAATATATGGTTATTTATAATATTTTCAGTACATGATATATATCGTTGATGTTAAAAATCCAGCCACTTGACTCAAGAGCCTGACCAATGTTCTCTTTTTATTATTATACTGTTTAACCTGCAATGGCCCACTTTAAATTATTTGGTTTTAGTATGCAACTGCATTTTTAAATTTTTATGATTTCTACTTGTTTTGTATTCTAAAAAAAATACATGCAATATGTGGCATAGAGTTTGGCAGGGTAATGT